TTCAGTCATAAGTTTTTACAAGTTTTACGAGAAAAGTTACGATCCTTACGATTTTATCTAAAATTGATTCGTCAGCTTTTTTCGGCAACTCATGGTAATATCGTGATAATACTTCGATAAGTTTCCCAGTAAGACCGCGCGACAAAGAAAAAGTATGCCACTTTGTTATTGCAACGACGCTCGGCAACCCGATACACAGCTATGTAATCATACATGTAGCACGCATGGCGCTCGGATCGAAGCCACAGAGGACGCAACGACGCACGAATATTATAATCAATAAGAAAATAGCCTGCTGTTCCTCGAAACAAATGGCTTTTCAGCAATATTAAGTGAAAATAGACCGACAAATGTGCAACACAAATTAAGAGGACCATATTCGGTCAAGGCGAGTCTTATTGCTGGTACCTAATGGATTTTAACCGACACGTACATCGTCCGGCGCAAATTACGCTATAAATGGCCAGCGGAAGTGCACGGTTCTTGCTCTATATTTCTTGTGCGCCTCATTCATCTGATCGATCGTAAAAGAAAGAAAGAGACAGCAGTTTTTGTAATATTAATCGTGCCTATACATAGTAAAATTCTTAATGATAAAGTTTAAGCCGTCAAGTTTCGAAAAAGTCTCGGAAGTCCACTTTTTCGTACGACAGTCTTGTACGGTATGCGAGTAACAACAGTAAAAACAGATAGATATAAATTATAGATCTCTCTGTGATATTTCTTTTTTTTTTTCTTTTATAAGGACACGTGTTTCCTAGAATTTCTACCATCCTCCCTAGACAGAGACACACAACTAAAAGACAGTTCGGACGACCTGTTAGGGTGGTTTGCGACAATCTGGTGGAGGCTGCAGACCGAAATACGCTCGCACGGCCAATTCTCACTAACACCGAGATGCGTTCCGATGCACGTGCAACCAACCACCACCTCGGAAGATGGCCGTGCTATTTCAGGCAGACTAGCCAGTGCCATGTAGCGAATCAGGACCGTACTGCACATTTAGTTCACCCTGCAGAGATTGTTCTTTTGCGGCCGTTCTATCTCGATCTTAATTCCAACCAACAAAATCTCATCTGTAGCTATATGGCTTTCAGTGTTTTTAAAAAGTAAAGCAAAAGCATCATCAGATAATGGCCAGCAAACGCTGATGATAAATTTTGAAACGTCAAATTTGACGATTATCTTTCACGATATCGACGAGCAGAAACCGCGCTCCGGTTAGATTAAAGGCTCCCATTTCGTGCTTCCTGCATGACAGATATATGCTAGGATGACCCCTCCCCCCCTCCCCCTATTCCGTGTTAAACTACGTTAAATCCGACTTGCGCTACCAGTAGTCTACCGGGAAATGAAATTTGTGGAGACTATCGATCGTTCCATGTGCAAAGCAGTAAGAGAAACAAATACAAAAAAAAAAAAAAATAACGGCTTGCTTCACAAAATAATGCGTTATTCAAATGTATGTTAAATAGACATCGTTAGGTATTTGTGCATCGCCATCGATTTGAAATGGTATCTGATTCATAATTTATTTTCACGAGATTGAGGTGAACTTTTTCGACGATTCCCATCGCCGGAGGATAATTAGTGCGAATTAACTTACGAAGCTATTTGCTTATTGAACGATTCTTGACTAGAACTCTGTCGAAAGTTGCAGCGTAGATTAGCAGGACGAGAATTAGAAGCTCGACAATAATTAATCTGGGTCGTTGCTGACGGATACGCGAATCGATATGTTATGACGCGATCTACTTTTCCGCGTATTTACTATGTAATGCTATTAATGTCTCCATGGAATTTGATGGCGATTTAAGCTACGTCTATTCAAAATTCGTTAAAACCCCAAGGGACACGGGGACCACAGAGACTTTTCATGCTAGATTGTCTCCACGCGACTGACAACCCGAACTGACCTCGATAACGCAAGCACTCTGCGCAAAGTGGATGTCTTCCAAATCGATCCATAGATTTGTGCAGCGAACTTAAAATCATAAATCTTTTGAATAAAGAAAAAGAGGAGAAAGAGAGGGAGAAAGAAACGCTTCCAACTGTGCCAGGAGAACAAACTCTCGAGAGCTCTTGAAGAAAATATCACTGCAGAGTCGCCATCATGTTAATACATATAAACAAATATATGTTCCAGAGTAGGGGAGCGTTACTTTTCCGTTACTTTTTATAATAAATGACGTTGCAATTTTTTATAACTAAACGCTAAGGTTGGAAAAGTCGACCTTTGCAAAAGTCAACCTTAGCATAATGTTTAATTATAAAAAATTGTAACATCATCATCAAATTGTTCATTATAAAAAGTAACGGAGAAGTAACGGACAAAGTAACGTTTTCCAACTCTGAACATGTACATGTGTATGAAAATGAAAAACTACCCAAGGAAAACATCAAGTCAACAGAAAATCAAAACGATGATTTTTTTGTTACAAAATTTGATTGTTTATTGATGTTATGATTGAAATAAAATCATTTTGATCTTTTGTTGAATTAGTGCGTTCCTTGGGTGATAGAAAACGCGATGTATAGGATTTATTATGCTCATCCCAGGGATAGACAATCGGAGGTGAAAGCGAAGAAAAAGTAATTGACTAACTTTTATTATAATAACTCTCTTTGAAAAAATGAAGAAATAACTTCCTCGGTTGGCGATCTCTTTCGCGTCGTAAGAATAATTCAAGAGGCGTAGACATGCAACGCGCGTGCCAATTTTTCTGAGAAAATCGCCGAGTAAAAACTCATTACTCGATACAACGAAGCAGCTCGTAATGCAGAAAAATTTCGTTGTCGTGAATAGTCGGGGAGTGTAATATTTAAACATTTACACGCACACACATACTTTGCCCGCGTACTTTTCACGACGATATGCAGTTCGCGGGCGTACCTAAAAATTAATTGAAAATGTGCGGTATACATTCGGACTGGCACCGTCGCCGCCGCGACGGCAATTTCGAGGGTTCGTATACATTGGACGTCTTGTGTGAACGCCGGGAACCGCCGCGTGACCCACTTGCTTAAACGCTAGCGAAATAATATTCCGTCGTTGAGAAGAGGGGAGACGCCTGGCGTCGCCATATATAGGGTATCCCGTGTCGACATCGGTGTGCCTACTAATGACAGATTTCTTGACGAATTGAATTTACGTGAGATTTTACGTGAACAAAGGAAAATTTGATCGAAGACTTCCTCGTCGCAGGGAATCTTTCAATTTTCGTTATTAGTCAATTTTCATTTTCAATGTTAATCTCAGGAGTGAATTTCCAATTGTCCTCGTTTAATATTGTATTTCGTTTTTACATTATATTATATAATATATTACATTTATTTATATATCATATTTATATTTTTATAAATTTTATAAATAATTATTGAATTGAAATCAAAAAGATTGCATTAAATGGGACACCGAGAAAAAATCATTATTACGTTTTTAACATATTTTTTAATATATACATCAATGATCTTTAACAAATCAATAATTATAGACGATAAAATGATCAAAATAAAAAAAAAAATCGAGATATCTGCTGTTAATACTTGAATAAATAACAGCAACGGGACTTGTATGTATTCAAGGCTGAATTGTGTCAGAGAACTGAGAAGAAAAGCGTGATGCGTCCCGTTCCAGTGCAACGAAACGTTGACGCGTCTCGTCGTCACGATGCATACGAGTGACTTGGTTTGCATGCCAATAAACGTCGTCGGCCGAAACTTTTCGCTGCGACCGCAATACCTCCAGGACGCCGAGCTATTCAACGCAGAATAGAATAATACTTTTTCGAAAGAACGATCCGCGCTCGCAATGCCCGAGTAGCTTGCTATTGATACGATCTGACGATGACTTAAAAGCCGCAAGTAACAATAGGTAATAGTACGTAATATTTGATGACTATTAAAAATACAACCTACGTAGATCACGAAAATAACACGCAACATCATTTTACTTCGCGGAAAGAATTACGCATCTTCCGCACTGCGTCTTTCATACAATTGGAATCCGCGGCCAACTTCTCCGGCGGTTTTTTTTCATCGATTCGGAATTTGCACGTTCTCCGAAAAAGCACGCATAACTGGACGCATTCCATCCCTAAGCGGGGCGCGTGTAACTGCTCGCCTCGTATACGTCGTGACTCACGCGAAACATTTTGAAACACGGTCACGTTTTGGCAAAAACAATACATCTTATTGCCGAGTGTAGGCAACCCCGGGAATTTGTCGTAATCTACTGACATGTCACTTCCGATTTCTAATGCCGACATAGTTGTCGCATATTTTTCGCTTCTTCACTCAATTATCCCAAAAAAGTTAAAGTCTAGGTTTATAAAGTAAACCCGCAAACCCGCCATCATTTTGGCTCGAAGACGCTACGATATTCGAATCTATGTATTTGTATTTGTATTTATAAATTACACGGCGTGTATAATGTGTGTATATGTACGCTATTCGACGTCATTTTGGCTTAGGAATAAAAAAACCTCATTATAGAACTTCATTAATTTAACATTAATTTTGACTTTACAAAGGAGTCTTACAAAAGTGTTCTCTTTATCGATGAACGATCACGATTCGATTTTAACGATCAACTATTCAATAACTCAACTATTATTAGTGCAAAAGATTTTGTTAAATCCGTAAAGCTAAAGTTTAAAAGTTACAGCAGAGTCAAAGCGAAATCGTTGTCACTAACTTCAATAGATTCTTCTTTTATCTAAAAAAAAAAGAAGAAACTTTTTTCGAAGAATTCCGAATTTCTAACTTGTTTAATATAGAATTTAACAGAAAGATGATAAAACTTTTGCCTCAGCGTAATACTTGAAACTCTCAAAATAAAATACATTGAATCACGTGAAGAAATTTATATGTTAACTCTAAAAAAATAATTTCATCAGCTCTAATGGACAAGGTGGCGTGTAATTCGCCGATGGAACATCCCGCCTCCGATTCCTGTTTCTATTTCTGTTGCGTTACAACCTTGTTGGATAATCTTGTAGGTACTTATCAAGGCCAATGGCTCCGCGGCATGCGGCACGGTTACGGGGTGAGAGCGAGTGCACCATTCGGTTTGGCTAGCCATTACAAACCTCCAAAGCAAGTAAGAGCGTCCTTGACGTCGTTAAGGAGCGCCGACGGAGGACCAGCGGTCGCTCCAACGCCGGAACCCACCGACAGAAGGGATCGACGTGTAGACGACAGCCGAGGAGGATTCGTCCTGAAAGCCAGGAGCGACGATCCACCGGCTCGGAGAAAGAGCCTCACCGAAAAGTCCCTGAAGAAGGGCATTCTCTCGGTAAGGCACCCCTCTCGCGAAGGGACGAAGAATTGATAATGAGATTTTTTTAACAGAAATTATCTAGAAGAATATTCTGTCAATAGGGTCTTAAGATACGAAAGCAGAGGAGTACGGGAGATTTGGAGAAACGTGGTACCGGTGGTAGTATCAGAAGTAATGCCAGCTCAGCGTCGTGGATGTCGACCGAGAGCTCACAAAGTCAAGCCTCGGCGTCGGTTCACACAGACAGTAATGCGTCCTTTGTCATCGAGGTGGGTCACAACATTTGTGTTCCTCGGTTTCCTCGCGACTCGACGAACCTCTAATCGGATTTTAATTTCGTTTCTGCGCGATCATTAAATCCGCTTATTCTGATCGTATCAAGAGATGCGAATAACGTTAATATATACTAGTAACTTGTAGCATAAATGTGTATATATTCTTGTAGTGTGTGGATTTAAAGTTAAAAAAAAATAATTAGCAAAACGCGTAGTTAATCGCATGATGTCGATTCGCAGGACGAACAGATGGACGCGTCGGTAACTGAGACGTACTTGGGCGAATGGAAGAACGATAAGAGGACTGGCTTCGGCATATCCGAGAGAAGCGACGGGTTGCGATATGAAGGCGAATGGTTCAACAATCGCAAATATGGCTACGGTGTCACCACGTTCCGTGACGGCAGCAAGGAGGAAGGAAAGTACAAGAACAACGTGCTTATCACTAGTCAGAAAAAGAAGCATCTCTTCCTAATCAGGTCCGCCAAATTTCGTGAAAGGATAGAGGCGGCAGTGAGCGCAGCTCAGCGGGCGAGCAAGATCGCTCTGCAAAAAGCCGATATCGCTATCTCTAGGACGGCAACGGCGCGAGGTAAAGCGGAATTGGCCGACATCGCCGCCGAACACGCCAGAGAAGATTCCGAACTAGCGCAACAAACAGCGAGGCAGTTCGCACCGGATTTCCGGCAGCCGGGTTTAGAAAGGTTACGGAACAGGGAGATACCCAAGTACGTTCCGCCGCCACAGGATTCCATGCCGGGTAAGAGTATCCTACACAAGGCAGCCAGCGTGGACCAACCCAGCGGCGCCACGCCGATCAAAAGCGCGACGATGGCCGTCGACTCCGCAACGACGGCGATAACGACGACGACGAACGCGACGCCAGCATCCGCAGCGAACAACACTGTCGGCAATGTGATGCAATCGATACGTAGGACCAGTGTAAAGCCTCTGCCGCAGAATCAGCTGCCTATGCAAAACCAGATACCGAATCAGGTACCGCTGATGAACCAGGCATCCATGAATCAATTAAACACTCAACAGACCTCGCTGATTGGTCAGAATCCGTATCAACAGTATCCGTATCAACAGCAAAACATGACGCAAAATCCGGTTCCGACGAGCCAGTACTCGAACAGTATACCGAACCAGTACCAACCGAATCAATACAGCCAGCAGCATCACCAGTTCGTCCAGAACAATCCGTACCAGACGCAGTATCAACTGACTAATCCATCTCAGGTTGAGCAACAATATTCCGATTATCAGCAACAACAGCAACAACAGCAACCAATCGGATTGCACGATTTTCAAAATTTGCAGGCTTATCCCACTCAGCAGGTGACTCCGGTAGCAATATTGCTCTCCTTGATCTTTCTTAGCTTCCGCGCACGCAGCTTTCCGCGATAATTCAATTTACTGATTACGATTTACCGAACGCTCTCGTATGCCTATGGCAATGTTGTATTTCTCTGTGTGTATGTGTTTCTTTTTAGATCCCGCAACCGATGTTTATATGTAAAGTTTTATGATGTAAAGAACTCAATGAATTTCTGTACATGCGAGTTTAGTTTCATCGATAAATTTAACATGCATTTAACAATAGCTGTACTAATGACTGATTATCGATAGTCCTAACGTTTAATTATATTCCTTTTGTTTTGTTCTGAATAATAATAATTAGTTTAATTACGAGTAATATTCTTAATTTTGGTTGAAAATTAATGGATTCAACAGCCAAATAGGAAGCCATTGTTTCTTCTCTTGAAGTGTACAATTAATAGTCATACGATGAGCCTGCAAAATTTTGGTAACCTCTAATAACGAAATATCGAACAAATACAAAATCTTTCGACATCAGTATCGCTTATCTCGGAAATGTAAATAAAAATATTAGATATGTTTGAGTAACATATTGAAATATGATTCAGTATGTATTTGTTCGGCTTGTGATTAAAAGCATTGATTAGAGCAACGTGAAATAATTTCAGACTGTATTACCCAATCAATATGGGCCTGGCCAGATGAATCAGTACAATTCACAGCCAATGTACGCACAACAAACGCACCCGTCGCAATACCAGCCTGATAACATCATGGATACAGCGAGGCCGCCGAGCTCCACGAGTTTACGAAGAAATAGTAGAGTCCTGAGTCCTCAGGATCGACCTGGCATTATTGGTCAAACGCTAAACGACAGGTCTGACGTGCTCTTTTTATACAATTAATATACATAGCAATTTAAAAAGATGTGATTTGATATTTTTAAGAAATTTTCTATATAACTTTTATACAACTGCATCGTAGTTCTGTGAAATCATATTTAAGACGAATCGTTATTGCACAAAATAAAATATTTTTTACAGATTTCACACTTTTTTTAGATTGTCGTTTGAGATTATAATTACACTACAAGTTAAGAGATTAATGTTTTAAGCGATTAATGTGTTGTAGGCTGGATCATTACAAGAGACCACCTAGTCGCGATAGTTCCGTAGATCGTTATGCCAGAGCGCATTCCCGGTTAACTGGATCGAGACAACCATCCGTCGACAAAACCATATCGAACCCACCTCCGGAGATGCTCGACAGGTGAATAACATCTAAATCGATATATCGATTGACATTCGAAAATATTTATGTTGTTTACTACCTGAGCTCGTATATGTATCATAATTCAGAGAAAGATCTAAACTAAAGTCTGCCGTGCTTGTTTTCCTGCTGGATGGCTTGCGTTTTGATAAACTACTAGATTATTTTACTTACTAGAAATTCTGCGTTCTGTGTGGCGTAATTCTATAGTAATTTAGTAAAACAATCCAGCAGAGGAAAACAAGCAGTATGCCGCAGGCTTTAGAGTTGCATTCAGAAATTTATAGAGTATCATAAAGGCTATGGTACACAAAAAATCTTAACATTTTGGATTTGCTATTACTAACGTTATTGCCTAACGTTCTCTTACGTTGACCAATTTGCTTACTGCTTACGTCTTGCTGCCTTACATTTTTCTGTGTGCCATGGGCATTTAAATCTTTTTATAGAACTATCTTAGTTCTTTGAAAGCAATGATTTTACAATCGGCAGATCGACGAGAGCTCCAAGCGCGATAAGAGGAGGGACGCCGCTGAATGGTTCCGTGATAGGCAGCGGCGCCGCGACGCCGACATACGCCGCGCCAACTCCTAACCAATTTGAGGGGGCTCTCATAAAAAACCGTAGCCTTGGACAGGACATTCTGCCGAGTCCTGGACAGCCTAAGCGCACCGAGAGCCTCTACATGGCTCGCGGACAGTCCGGCGGCGGCGGTGGCGGTGTCGGTGGTGGTGTCGGTGGTGGTGTCGGTGGTGGTGTCGGTGGTGGTGGTGGTGGTGGTGGCGGTGGCGGCGGCGGTGGTGGTGGTGGTGGTGGTGGTATTGTGCCGAAGGTGAGTCCTTATTTTCTTACATGTATTTGTTCTTTTTATCCATCTTGTACATACATATACATATATATGTGTATATGTATATATAAACAAACCCTCGCCATGTGCATATATACGTGCACCCATACATTCGTCTTGTACACTGAGGACGTCTTGGCACTTACGTCAGCCACCTTGAAAAAGAATTTTCGAATGTGCCGATTCTACAGATATCTGTTCTACAGAACTCTACAGATATACTGATAGTTCTTATTTTTCAATATTGTGATTGAGTGTTGTTTTAATATTCATAAACGATATATTGACGGTTCGAGTCAGATAAAAATTTCCATAGAGGATTCTGACATTTCGTGCATTGACGTCATCGGATAGGCAGCATTTTTAAATTATATTCATCCTATATAAATATTATAATATTATTCATTATATTTCTACCGTGCGTTGCATCGACATTTCAAGAGAGTTAATGACACTATAGTTATTTTTTCAACACGGTTTTTCGCTGCTTTATTCACTTGGAACGAATCGCGACGTTCGTTTTTTGAATGAATTTAAATTTTCCATTCGGAAATTGTGAAATTTTGATGTCGATTTCTCGTGAATGACAAAGATTCGAGGAAATATAATATAATTTGACAATTTGTTTGGCGTTCACTCTGCCAAGAAACGAAACGAGATATCTCTTTCCAAGACCAACTTCGGAAATAACTTCGACGGTCATTGTACGTTAAAACAAGATAACAATCGTTCGACATTACGTTGATTTCCAAGAAAATATCGCACGTACAAGTCGAACGATATTAGATATTTAAATTTTTCTCGCAACAGAAAACGACTCTCTGATGGAATATTTTACAGAATTAATAGAATTAGTCTACGCTGTTTTTTCAAAGTCCAATTAATCTTTTAAATATTTCTCGTTTCATATTATTCGAAGATTTTGATGAAACGATTCTCAGTCAGAAATAATTGGCCGATCAACGTCGAATCGATACTGATTCAATATTGATCGACCATTCATTTCTGGCTGTGTTGTATAGAAAATTGCCATAAATTATGAATAATAATCTCCGTCCATTTATGAATAATAACGCAAGTAAATTATTCATAATGACCAGCGGTTATATTATACTGTACATAATCTTCCAATGACTAGAAATTACCATAAAAAGTGATATCGAAAATACGTTATATTAGTTTCACGTAACATTCTGCTGCGAGAATTCCAAATACAACGATTCCGAAATTATTTTCATAAGCCCGAATATCATCTCGCCCATGTTTAAACTTGCATTTTTTTTATTGCGATATATTTCTTGCACCTCGCCTGCGTTCTCGACGCACCCCATTTTCTCCCCGTTTTTCCTCTCGTTCAGATTTTTCTCACCATATTCGCCTCTCTTATTATCTAGTTTACCTTACCTATCTGTATCTCTTCTCTTCTCTGTCTCTATTTGTCTCTCTGTGTAACTGTGTGGCGTTTTGTGCTGTGTTCTGTGCATGCCATCCCAGGAAGCAGGCCGGACGGTCCCCGCCTTCGCCGCAACGTCAAAGGGCCGCGCAACCCTATAAGTATAAGTATAAAATATGTATACAGAGCGATGTTATGTAAAAATAGCGGTTGGCAAGGAAGCACAGCTTACGATAGGCTCACGTTGCATTTCGAGCCGAATCGGAAATTATAAGAAATTATAAGAAATTACGATACGCGCAGCCCCGATCGCCGTTTCCGCCCAACTCACCTCGGCATTAAATATTTCAGAACGAAGTTAAGTTCCGATAACCAATCTCGTCTCGGGGTAGTTTTGAACGCGCGCATTGACGATATTTTTCTATGAATTTACGAATCTCTGCATCGTCCGATATTACCTTAATTAACAGGGACGCGATTGCGCGGCTTGAACGCTGTGTCTGAATAGTTAATTATGTTAATGCAGGCTCGCGAGCAGAATCGAACCTTGTTCGGTTCCCGTCGAACTGTCGGTTGAATTTTCGCAGTTTACGCACGTTCACTTGATATACGTTGAAAATGTGAGGTAGGTTTCCGGAGCGGGGCCTTATATGAAAATGAGAGAATTTTCTAGTAACGAACATTTTTTTGTGAAAAATTTTGGTGCTATGTTATGAGGCGTAACGCTTAATGGAAGAGACATTTGTACCTGGTATAGATTGCTATTAGCTGTTAACTTCGCCGCGATGTCGAACAATAAAGACGCTCATTAATAGAATCGCGGTTGAAGGAAGCGCATTTGAAATGAGCAATGCATATTTATGGGAGACCGACTTATTTTTCTATGGGAACACTGCGAGCCTACGTGAGTGACACGATTTGTTCACTCACGCGAACAATCTAGAATTATTGTCAATTTTTGATCATCAGCATTAATCCTGGAATAAATCCGTTTCGTATCAACGTTTGCCAATAACGATTAATACTTCGCTATTGCGCAATGAATTGGAGGGAAGATAGCATGTCCCGTTTAATCCGTTGGAACTGATAAAGAGAGCGTGCATTTATTCCAGGATTAAATAAATGATGATTAAAACGTAGTCGACAAGAAATGGTAGAGCTTAAATATTTTCGAGATATCTTAGATCGTATTTCGTCTTGGTCATGAAAGAAGATTGCTGTCGTTAGGCAACGCTATTGAGAAACGGAATTATATGCTAAAGAGGATTAGCAGATTTCGCAAATCGCGCTTGAAAACGTAAATTGGCAACGACGCCTCATTGTATCAATTCGAGATACGATCTATTATGCTCATTGGGTAACATGCGAGATCGCCGACGGACCAGTTCAACGAACAATAAATGTAACACTACATGTACAGTTCCTTTCAGCAAGAGAGGAGAAGCAACTAAATGCCCTCCGATTTTTATTTTTATTTTTTTTTTTTTGCTCGATACCCTATGGTCAAATAAGATTATTAATACGCGCATCTCAGATTAAAACGCGAGTGCATAAACTAAACTCTTTACAAGCATAAAATAAACGGAAGTGTCTGTGTATATGTACGATATATGTATATGTATAGGTATTTGCACAGAAAAGATTATGCTAAAGCGGAGTAATATAATGCGAGTTGGTTCTCCACTTTGTGAAACGACAGTAAAAAATGAAACGAATCCTTGTTCGCGCACAATTCTTCTACGTAATTCTTATATGTAACATTCCGTTTTTTTTTTCTCTCTCTCCCTCTCTTTTGAGAATAGCTACTCGAATTAAGAATTAGGCAATCTACGTTAATTGCATGCGCACATATATGAATATAAACTCGTGCGCGGAGCTGAGCTAAAGCCGGCGCACGTTTATTACGTCCATTAACCGCTAATTAACGGACTTCGGAAGGTAAGCCTAGCGCGTGGCGTGGAGGCGGGGACCATATTTTTGCTCTTCCATTCTATTTTAACCCTCTTTAATTAACCATATTTTTAAGTCTTTTTCGACCCTTCTTCCGAGCCCTCTCTCGCTAGCCACCTTTCCTAGATTATTCACCTAGATTATTCGCTTAGATTACTCGACCGATCGATACCACTCAATCTGTACTCTCAGATATGCTCTAGTTGAATTTTACCATGTTGTGTTCAAGCTCATAACTCAAATGGTATTATATTTGATTTATCAAATATTAGTATTGCTATCACAGAGAGGGTAACTGCTAATTATTATCACTTGTCGAGATTGCAAATGTACGAGCTTTACGAGAGATTCATTTATCTACCACCTCCACGCCGCTTCTTTTTTCTGTTCTCTGGTTGGAAACATTGTTCTTCTAACGCATGCTTGTCGTGAATTCGAGTCTATATTTGGCGCCATATGTGCATAGATAGAAATTTGTTAAAATGAAAGTAAAATCGTGAGGGAAACGTTCGATATGAAACGAGCCTTAAGCATGCAAGAGTCTAATTAAATCTACGATGTTAGTCGCCGTTGCCGATATACATATATATATATATACGGATGTTATATTGTAGTACAATACTTGTTTCACGCACATCGCGCACGCATAAGAATCATCGCGTAGAATAATTTGCCGCCCACTGTTAACGCGAAGGGAAAGATATGTGAGAAATGCGAAAGCTTATTTTATATACTGAGAAACGAACGCTCTCGAGAAGAAAGAGAACTGAAAACGCGAGTTTTAGAACCGTCTGTGTCAAATATATTTATACGCTAATGATTCTATACAGGAAAAAACGTCCAGATTACAGACGTTGAATATGTTCCGTGTAAATAAGGATAATATTCGAATTTATGACCAGATGATACGGTGAAATTATGTATGATAATAAGATTAAGAGCAGACCTTTAACGATCGAATTTGCCAATGATACCTGTAACTGTGAGCCTAATTCTTAAATGGTCTATACAATCGGAGTATAAAATTCTAATTGATAGAAATTATATCGATCGCACAAACAAGATATTACTCTTTGAAGATTTTAATTAAACTATGAAGGAATACTCACTATATTTTCATACAGGACCGATTTAATGATATTTAATATATCTGCGTTAACATCTTAAGTCACAAATCATGGTTTCGACAATAACGATGGTTGCACAAAAAAAAAAAAAAAAAAAAAGAAATGTCGCGAGGAATAGTCCAATGATTTGTGCGGGTCCGCATAAAATGCAACAATATAATGCACAAGTGCAACTTTGAATACAACATTCCCAAACAAACACTTGAATTCTGACTTAAGCCGTTAATCTACCCATGTGTTCACAAGTTACTCGCTTATAACGACTTTCAAGTATAGTATCGAATTGTTCGGGAAGAAGTAAGCATACGAGAGAAGCATCGACATTTCGTCAACGTTGAAAACGTAGTATTTTTCTTAAACTTGCACTCAAGTGCCAATCTTGCGATAAGCGTTGTTCTGTTTCCGACTTTATAAAAGCTTTTCTAGATACTTAATGAGTCAGATATAATCACGTTCTAATTTATAGTGTGACGCACAATTATTTGTAGATATGTAGCCATATAGATGTAGAAGATCAGACGAGAATCGAAATAGATAATACGCATATTTGCTAAATTTCCAGATTACATTCCGTGAGAAAGTCAATCTTAATGTAGAAACTGTATCGATTTCGTTCACCAAACAACGACGTTGCATTCGATGTTATGAATGTATTTATGTATATCATGTATAAGCTGTTAATGACAGATTAAAGAGAGTATCGCGTAAATCGGACCTCTTACTGCCTTTATTGTCTATTGTCATTTTTTCAGAAAATGTAAATATAATGTTAGCATATTCGCCGAGACAAAAAATCGATATCGAATTGCGTTTTATACGATAAGATATTAATATTTCAAGATTCAATTGAGTAATCATAATATTCAAACGAGTTCTATGGAAATTATGGGCAATATGTAGATTCACAAGGAAGATCGCAAACAATGAAGCAATTGTATGCAGTTTGTGAACGAGGCCATGGAAATTCCGGTTTTAATATTAATTACTTCATTTTCATTTCTTATAATTTGTCAAGTTTCATTTGAGGTATATAGTCATAAACGTGCAAAAACATCACGGAAGCTTCAAAAGTTACGAAATATTAACGTTTTCTTTTTCGTAACAAGTGTAATAAACCACTCATTATTCGCCATTGTTTATTGTTGTGCTAATCCGATTAAGGATAGATTTTGTATCGACGTGGATATAATTACCACCGTGAAAAAATATTACGTCATTAGCGTCATGCATTAATTAAATCGGATTAAACAATCGATAAGGGAACTGCCTCGAAATAATCGCGCCATTAGCGAAGCAAATTAAACCGTTGCACCATGCCAGTCAAATTACTTTGCCGGGTACAACTAACTAATCTGTAACAACGAGCAGACTGCGCAACGCGATAAATGACAGACAAAGAAATTGCAAATAAGTGGGACGGACGTTTTCTTGGCGCACGAAAATCCCGAAATCCTCGTATTATATATTCCATCGCATGCCAAACGCATGAGTCAGATAATTCGGGTCTGGATTTGATTTGCGTAAGATTGTCTAATAAAATTTTTGTACGATAAAAAAATTTGTAATTCAAATTTTGAATTTTTTTTTTGCCAATATTTTAATAATTTAAACTTCAAAATAACTTCAGCTATTTCGAAGAGATTTAAGAAAAAGGAGATTTGTAAGAGATTTTTCGGAAGGAATCGAATAATTTTGCCAACGTCGGTGAACCGTAAAAAGTAGTGGGTCGAATTTTGAGATTAGAGCATAATCTTTTCTCATGTTATACTCGCCGTTATAAAACAGCTGCTCGTAAATCAGCTGCGAGGATCGACAGGGTTCTGGCAGCGTCCCGACGCAGATCTCCGCGGGCGTCGCGACGTTCGGCAAAGTTATTTCAAAGATAGTGGGGCATCGCTCTATTTCGGTCATGCTAGCCAGGGCCGTTCAGTCTGCGGCCCAGCTTCCTTACCGGGAGGCTGCGAATTTGTAATTTACACTTCGATTTGCCTCTTTTCGTGCCCGGAAATCGTCAAAAAAATGGCCGAAAAATAAGCGAACGGGTTTCACGCTCGAATGCAAATACACGCTTGTGCAGTTTCAAAAGACATTTCCGGTCGAGGAAGAAGCAAAGAGAAAGAAAGCTCGGTGTGAATGGAAGCGTCAATTAGCTCGATTATTATAGCTTCCGGGATGATCTTTCGATTTTAACGTGGATTCGAAAAAAAAAAAAAAAACAGTGTTCGCTTGATTTCATAACGATGTAACGTAAAAGTGACAATCTAAAATTATTTAACAATTAACTGTAAGCTCTTTAATCACGATATATAACATGGACCTGGTCTATCCTTGCAAATAATATCGGCCGTCAATTATATCAGAAGTCAATTATATCAGAAGTCCAATAATTGAAGAAAACTGTAACGTATCAACGTCAAGAGTAAGTCCGTTACAGATTTTAAAGAAAAATTTATGAAATCAACAGTACATCGTACGAAACAAAAAGTGCAATTTAAAAAAAAAAAGAAAAATTGACCCAAGCGAACGAGAATGATTTTCTTCTTCGTGAGTGGTTAAAAACTCGAAAGATTTTAATGTATTCTGAGGGTGCCTACGATTCATCGTGAGAATAGAGATGTTTTGGATCGAGACGGACGAGGAGGAGGAGGCGTTGCTATGCAGCCCCGCTTTGATGGCCAGGCGGGCCTCGGAGTCCTGGATCGTAGCACCTCCGGTGGAGGTACGCGAGGCAAATTCACGTTCTAACATTTTAATAACCAAGGTTAAGCAATGCGTAAAAGTTCATGCAGGGTGGGCAAAGAATTTTCTTTAGAATTTTTAGAAGAAAGTACGGGATGAAGATGAGGGAAAAAAACAACGCAATAGATAACGAACGGGGGGGGGGGGGAAACATTGTTTGCTCGCGCGGTCATTAGGGGTGGAATCAGCTGTGCTTAGCGACAACGAAGCACGCTCGATGAAGTGTAGAAGGATGGAGGGTTTACGAGTAAAACACGTAATAAACGAGTGCAGTCAGCAAACACAATAGATTGCATAAATATAGTGTACATATAGAAAAAAAAACGTGTGATCTTATTTAATTGTTATTCTTATTTAAAAAGATTATAAGAGATAAGGACATGCGATATGCGAAAATATTCAATGCAAGATAAGAAGCTTTTTGCAATATTGCAATTTAATATGCATGATTTATTAATAAGGTGTTAAAAAATAAGATTCAAGACTTATTGTTAAAGAGTAGATACTCGACAAATTGAATAAAAAAAATGACTAGAATCGATTTGTGCAAAAAATTTTATAAATTTATGCTGTTCTATACAAAATTGCAAATAAATTATATGTATTGATCAAACTGAAAACTTTTAATCACACTTATTAAGTCAGTTCTCTACGATAAATCTTTGATTCTTATTTTAACAACCTGTATAAAATTATGCACATATTATTGCGATAAGAAATAGAACGTATACAGTTATGTAATATTTAGAATTTATTGGCTAATTTACCACACATAATGTTTAGAACATCACGCGTGCGGAATTTTTATATAAAAAGGGAGTCCTTGTAATTCAAATTATTTTTTTATAGTTATATTTACTGTTTGCTTGAAACCTCATTTACAGATATATAGTTTTTCCTTAGAACGGTCTCTGAAAAGTTTATTTAGTCGTACAATAAGAATGTGAAGGTCGATACGAGTCGTTTTAGGATTAGACCCCTCGGTCCTTGTATCTCACTCAGTGCTCGAAAACCTCGTCTCTCTTAGGTTTGGAACGGCTCCAAAGACCCTCCCTTCCGCTCGTGCTCTATCTTTCTCCTCGCCACCCGTTGCGTTCGCATGAAATGCTGAATTAATAAAACACGTAATTACAGGAATTCGTTGCTCTAACACAACCGACCTTTTGAAGGTCGGTTTCGTGAAGAACGCTGTCAGGATGATAGAATTTGAGACACGGAGGACTTAACGCGAATCGTGATAATCCTGTGACCAATACTGTGATTGACTGCACGTAGAAGATTGAACAAAAAAACTCAATCGTCTGAATAGTCAATAGTTTAAAATTCAATGATAGTTTCACGGACCGATATAAAACAGAGCTGTCTAACTTTTGACATCACGCAAACGAGCAAACAGAAATTCGAACAAGAGAAACGTTGGTTTGTGTATACAGCTTTGATATAAAACAAAAGCTTCAACAAATACAATGGAAATATGTTAATAATCTTGAACAGAATAGAGCACAAATTAAAAAGAGTTTTCTCATTTTCTAGAGTGTAAAAAAAAATAAGCAATTTTTGCAAATTTAAAAGAAAAATCTGTAGAAAAATAAAATTATTTAAATACATTATACAATTTTCGTTTTGTTAGTTTGCTTGATTCTCAATCAAATGCTTATAATTTTATCAATTTTGTAAATATAAACGACATGAATTTAAAATTTTGCAACATGTATTTAAAAGTTAAAAATACAACAAATCCTTGCACGTTACATGTTCACGAAACCGATCTTCAAACGTTGGACTTTATTAAAAATAGATGTTTAATTAAAATAATCAATACGTTACTTCACCTAGTTTTGAACTTAACGTTATTCCCTGTAAGAAGTATATTCAAAAGTATAATTGCTATTGCTTGACAATAACTCCGTTTTTCTCTTTCCGTTGTATACCCGTTTGATGCTATATAAGACGTTAAGGCAATGTACATAGTGTCGATAAGTAATTCGCGTTCGTCGCTCGAGGCCCATCTTTCTTTTTGTTTCTCGTTTATTTCCTTCGTGCAGGCGATGCCGGTAGCGGCAATGCCCTTTCAACGAAAGAAGTCACTGCCGGACGTAGCGCAGCCGATCCAGCTGACGGCCACCTCACCATTATCGAGGGAAGAAGTCAGTTTTCTGAGCAGTATGAGGAGAGAGGAGATCCGCAGGCAAGTCGACGAGAGCGAGAGGCTCAGAGCAAACCCGCTTTTGTACCTGGTCAGTCCGCAGGTTAAAGTAAGTATCCTCCGTGTTTCTACCTGATCGTCGAAATTATTGTCGATGTTGACAATGGCGCGGCATTAATCCTCGCCGTTTCAAAAATAAGAGAAAACACGGAGCGGCACTTGGCAGAGTGTTACGGTTTATTTCGGATCAAGTCCTGTGCGTCTCGACTTGCTACGCAAAAATATAACGCACCACGAGAAACGCGACGATTCTATAATAGGTTCTTGCGCGATTCTCGAAATCAGCATCTGCTTGGTCCAGTTTCGCAATCGCGAGTCGCGAGTATAGACCGAATGAAATCATTCTCGTACATGTATATCTCAAGACGATGAATGAAATATTTTATACTTGTTCTGCAATAGCCGTAAGCGTAGTTGTAATTAGTTGTAGTTGTAAGAATCAATCGATCAATCAAGTGGAATGTGAGGAGAATATTGTAATTGGTTCTTATAAAATACTAAAACCACACTTACAACTACACTTATGGCTATTGTAGAACAGATACTCGTATAAAGGATCATCTGCATTAAGAGTAATATTGTGTCGTAAGATGTAAGCCGTAAGAAATCTACCAATTACTGTTGAATGTAAGAAGAGTAATTGATTTACCGCGAAGCTAAATGGCTGGCGATAAGAAAACTAATAAAGTAATATCCCGTATTGTTGCAGGACTGGTTCTCCCGCCAGCAGCTCGTGATGCTGGTGCTCTTCATCAACATATCTCTAGCTTTGATGTTTTTCAAACTGCTGACGTAGCAGCCAGCCGACGATCGGGTTCACGGACTCGTGAACGTGGACGTGACCTGAGACCCGGTGGCGCTGCGACACTTTGGGTCGTCACCGAGCCAGAATTTCGAAGGGAAACGGCAATGTGGCCGCATCAAGAATCGCCGGGAATGGCTTTCACCAGCGGTTCATTCAGTCTTACGCGCCGCGGGCGCTATGTTAAAAGAGGAAATCTTTGAATCGGGACCGACGAAAAGGAGACTCGAAGAGGATCAATCTCGGCGGAGATTTTGTCGCGCGAAGGCGGCCTTCTAGTCGAATTTCGAGCGATCGTGAAAATCTAGGTAGACGAGTAAATAGAGGGAGCAGTATTGAGGCGAGAAAGTATCTCCGAGGTATTTTCGAAGGGATTTAAAATGGATTTATCTTTGAATATTGTAAATTAAAAAGGACTTAAGCTTCAAAAGAAGGAATAAAGGAAAAGATTCGACAGAGATTTGAAAGAATTTGAATGGTGATTGGAATCCTCGAAGATCTTTCGTAAAAGTAAGAATACCGGTCGATGAGAAAAGTTTTCTGACAAAGCGTTTTTAGACATTTGCCGCTTAGATCCTTTTTAATTGGCAGGCTAATATTTATTGGACAAAAATTTTGGAGAAAAAAGAAACAAACGATGAAACACCTAAGCGCAGTTTGTCATTCGCGCGAGAGGGAAACATCGACAAGTCTTTTGGAAACGAGGGGGCGCTGTGTACTCCCACGACGCCTGTGTATCATACCTATTTTTACACCAAATACTTTAATAACGCTACTTGTAAGAGTAGGTCGAGCCCTTTCGGGCGGGCCACCGATCGATCGTATCCGACGTACGAATCTTCTTCTCTAGTCATAATTTTCTCTTTTCTGACGATCGGCTCGAGCGCAGTAATAGCGACGATCGAATTGTACACAATCGACTTTTTAACGAGTCAGCCGCTTGTCGACCACTTCTAATTAAGACTGGCGCTGTCGAATTTGAAGCGGTATAGTCGAATTATCCGAATCGTACTTACGGTTATTTCCTTAACAGTAGAGATTGTTATACTTAGCAATGATCGTAATTGTAGCCGTGGTGCCGTGCGCGTAAAGATTCGCTAACGCGCATCCGAGCATTTATAGCGTTCCACAACGATTATACGGTAAACTAAGGTAACGTAAGGCGTAAGTTTATTATAAACGAAAGAGACACAGGGAGTTGTCATAGTCGTCGAACTTTTACGAGCCCTGCGGGATTATAGTTACAATTACTATCGTTGAATGTCGATGATTGAGATTTGAATCCATCGTACGATATCTTGTCTAGAATTTACCAAGTTTCCCGATAGCGAAATGTGAATATGTCAACCTGAATATATGAACCTGCGCACAAATTGAGAGAAAATGTTTTTCGCTACGAATACGAATGAAGGCCGCGAAGCGCAGCACCTACGCGTATAATACGCGTAATGCATAAAGCATAAGAAAAACCCTAACCGATCAGAGTTTTTCATTTCATGAAAAGGAAGGAAATGAAGGACTTTGGTTGATTCATTTTCTCATACATTATGCGTTACGCGAGACTCTGTGCTTCCGCTCTTCTTCTCACCTTTCGATAAAAGATCGAAGGTTGACGTGCGCTTGTTTTTTCTGAAACAACGACACGAAGAATTGACGTTGTTTTCTCTGAAACGCTTTTTACATTATACGTATAAGAAAAATATTAGCGCTAAAAATGCGAATGATTCATATCGTAACAATCGCGCGCACGCAATCGCGATAACATCATTCATCGAGACGCAAAATCGCAATCTCTGTAACTGTATATACAAGTGATTCTTATCGACTAGTGTCTGCCACCAAATTTAGAAGCAGATTAAACACGACTTTCGATAAAATCTCGCGAACGTCTCGCGAAAGAAGATAATCACCCCATGACTATTATCCGAGACGTAAAACTAGTATCAAACGCTCTTTGATCCATGATATCGGCGACTCGCTGACGTTTATCTCATGTTTCGCGAAAACGCACAAATCGCGAGAGAATTATCTCTCGTATTCCTTCTCACTATTTCGCGACGGATCGACGATCGGCCTTCCTGCGCTCGAGCGATCGTATTTTTTCTAGCCTCGAGGGCACAGCTTGTATATCTCTAGGTAAATTTGTAAATAATCGTGTAAACGCCGATTGTGTGCGATTGCAGACTTTGTTCAACAATACGCGATATCGTTCTCGCGCGATCTCGGATACAATTTGGCCGGAAAGCGAGGACCACCGATAGTCGAGATCACCTTTTAACTCGAAGGATCTCACTTTGGTTCATAGCGAAACTAAGCTTCTCTCTTATTCCTCTGCTTTGACAGTGCCAATGACGTAGCCAGTGTACTTCCGCGAGGATAAATTTGATCGGCGGATTGATTATATATGCATTCGCGTTCAAATTATGCTCCAAATCCGAAAATATTGGTTCAAGCGCGAACACGTGACTCGAAATTAATATAATGCGTTCGATCGAGATGCAGCGGGATGATATTTTCGACGCTATCCATATTGAAACTGTGAAGAGCACAAAAAAAGAAAAGAAATTATTTTTGTCCGTCATTTCGCTAAGCAAATCGAACGAATCCATTTACAGGATTACAAAATTAATGCTGGGTTTACATCTGGCATCTTTCGATGCACGTTTGTCTGACTGTAACGTGGCTGATTTATTATTAAATAATTTCTTTCTAATATTCAATAATAAAACAGGACATTAAATTGAAAGAAATATCGAAATAAAAATGTCAAAAGTAAAGCCAGTATAAAAAATGAGCGAAACATTCTTAAGAAAAATAGGGTCACGTAGGCAAAAAGAACCGAAAGAAGGCATAGGCATACGAAATAAGTTGAATGTTCCAGCTTAGAAGAAAAGGACCGATGGCTTTTTGTCACGAGGTGCATTCGCATAGATACTCTACCTATTACGCACATTCGTCGTTGCGGGTCATGCATTGTATATATATTGCTATTATATATATAAAATTTATTAGTTAGTTAGTAACCGGAGAGAAACTAGAAAAGATTTGATATTGAACGTTGGGGGAAAACATCCATCGGGAACAAGAGGAGATTGGAGTCGTGAAAGGAACGAGGCGGGGGTAATTTTTGTCACCGAACAAACCATATCACTTAATCAAAGGAAATTTACGCGATTCGTATTGTTTTATTTATCTGGGGAAATTTATTTTGCAATTTACGATACGATATCATAATATGTATGTATTATGATCACGTATATATACATACATAAGAGCATATGTATATTTTACTTGTTATATCTCTCGACTATTATCGTAATTAGCGCGCATATCCCGTTATTATTGTATATTATTATCATTATTACTATTATATTATTAATTATTATTTGGATTATTATTACCATTATTATTGTTATTATCATGTCATCATCCTATTGAAAAAAAAAAAAACATGAATATTTAAAACAAAACATGAACGTGGGAGAAATTTTGGTACTTTGGAAAATATGCGATAATGGAACCTGAGGCCCATTGCCATTGTTAATTTGCGCAAGCAGTGATTCAATAAACTTGTATCATAACAGACAAACGTCTCTGGTAATTGATACTCTCTTTTGCTATGCCCGGATGATTGTCATCCACGTCGTAAAAGCAAAAGAACGCGAACAAGATCGACGACTTTAATTGTCGCAATGACACACAGATTTATCGTGTAAGCAAATCGAGAATACACAGAATGGTACTTTCCATTATTCTTACACATATGATATGTAGGCATACACGTATATACACTTCTTACGTATATACACGTATATACATTTCTTTCCAAAGCACGGGTGAAAATCGCAACGTAACCGAATGATGATTTACGTCGTACTTTTACGTCGTAACGTGCAGAGAGTTGCTAATCACATTCATTAAAGTAAATGTTTTTCTCGCACGTATACGGCGCACGTATTTACAAATCGACGAATCAAGAACTTCGCAGTTGCCGATCTGCGTAGTTCTCGAAGCTGATATTAAGGTGATATTTTGCAATGAACGTCGTCATGTTGTCGGCAAGTAAATAAATGCCGCAATTAAAAATGCTTACGGTAGCAACGTAATTTTCTCGGTTGAGAAAACAACCGAGGAGAGACGACTTCCGGAGAATTACAAGGAATTTACATCGCTAACACGATTGTTAAGAAGACGTCTCAGGAAACGGTCTCGAAAGAGGGAACGTTTTTTCCTCGCTGGTTAAAACTGAATCAGTCGACGAGGATCGGCACGGCAAAATTGAAAGTAAATCGGCGGTGCATCCTTCCACCGCGTGAGCATGAACATGATGTCGCTATTTGCGCGATTGTGCTGTTGCGTCACACATCGAGTGAGACTGCGTCTCTATTACCGGTGTCAACGTCATTCGAGTCAGCGAATAAGTATCAGGCGAAATGTGATCGCGAAAGATAGTTCCAATGAATAGCCATAATATCGACTGCGAGCATAATCAGTGAGCGACGATATTTTTATTTAATGATAGTTTTTCCAAATCGTGGGAAGAGCTCAAATCAGAAAAAAAAACGCAGGTAATTAAAACTTGTAATAATCGGATAAACGATAATCGGACATGCATGGAGGATCTCGTTTGTATTCAAATTTATATGGACTAAGTAAAAGCGTAAACTCGAACGAATTCCCCAGATATATCGCCCTCTGGCGATTCATTGATGCTAAAAATGCTTCGAAGCATTTTGTAATATCAAATCTTTGTCGATCAGGTACATGTATCTGTTTAGAAAGAGACATGCCATTTTTCATGTTTTAAATGCAACTGAATTAAATGTGGAGTCATATGGTAACCATCGATGGTCTTCAACTTTTCAAGTTCAACAATCCAGTTTTTAGAAAATTGCATACCTAAACTCGGCTTTATTCTTGGAACCTCTGGATTTTAAGTCAGAATAAAAAAAACAGTCTATCTTTAAAACTCGTTCGACATAGAAGTTAAACTAACAAAGAAGTCAGCTTCGAATATCTGCAACCTTGTGTTTGCAGTTCGAGAAATCAGTCCTTCGAAAAACAAGTCGACTGCTCGGCGAGCAAGTAATAATGTCGAAATACAATATATTTTAATTTTATTCATTAAACAAAAACAGATGTCGCAATCCTTATCGACTAAGGAATACAACGACTGCGAAGTGCGACGAGACCTGGCTGGAAGAAACACATGTTTTGGTCGGTTTGTCCTTAACTTACGACGTCGTTTTTAGCTCAGACGATTACGTAACATTTCTAATTTTAGGTGATATTCGTTTGCCAGTTCTCGTATGTAGACATGATCATCCGGTCTAAGATTTATTAGCATGCAACTGACAAGCTCAAATAAACTACACTTATATGCAAAAACTTTTTTGTTAACGGTTTTATCTCGAGTTTCAGTCGTTTCGGAATTTATGATCTTGAAAATTAATGTCTTTTAAAAATATTGAAAATATTTTCTAAAGTAAACTATAATTGCTATTTATACATTAAACTGAATTCTATTTAAAAGATGAAAATATTCATCTCTTCAACCAACAGGTAAGTATATGATCGGTAAAGAGAGTTTAGTCGAATTTAGAATTTGTTTGAATTTTTTATTTCGTCATTTTTCGTTCGGCCTGATTATAAATGTAAATGAGATTCAGTTGCAGTCTCGTCTTGTCTGCTATCTTGTCTTAAATGCGCACATGATTTAAGAATTGAGGTCACCCAAGATAATCATCGCAACTGTTCGCGCCGCGAATCTCAAATATTTGTCGTCTAAGAACGTAATTCTTATCAAAAACCGTAATCGCGAATCGAAGAAACGCAGACGTGGCACGAAAGTGGGATCAAAACGCAACACATTACGCATACTGAGAAAAAAAAGTTGCTATTTTAAAAAAACATTAGTTGATTCAATTAAATGTAGTCCGTCACGGGCTGTCAAGCAAATATTTGTTAATTCAACCAAATAACATGTTTTAAATTACAAGATTTTGTTAATCTAAGTACATAAATATTTGAACTAAATAATCATTACAAACTAAACGCATTTAATCAGTTAACTTTTTTTCAGTATATATTGTAGCATCGTGAAAAGAGATCTAAAATCCGGGCATTATCGGCACCACGCAGCAAACGATAAAAGGCGCGGCCGATAACCCAAACAAGAATAGAATTTTACTCGTAACGCTGTGGAGCAATGACATAACGAAGAAAAAACGGAGAAGAACGGAGAAGAAGAACAGACAAGAAAAAAGAAATGTATACATCATGATAAATATTCAAGCGATTAAGACGCAGCAAAGTTCGGCCGCCCTGTTTCCACACGGCAATAAAGACATTATCTATCGATTCACGTCGTTCGTATAAGCGCCTTGCATTGTAAAATAATCCGGCATTTTCTGGGTCATTAACCGCAGTATCGATCGCTTTGGTATCTCGTCTCGAGGAAACACCATGCAAAGCGAGCACTCGTCGACTTTTTACTACTCATTTTTAGCCTAAAACGAAAGAATAGAAATATCCCGTTATTAAAATACAAATCCCGTTATTAAAAAAAATTTATTTATGAATTAAGCTTCTATAGTTTATTAACCGAACCTTTGAAGACCTAGACAAATTTTTATTTTGAATGTTATCTCAAATTCATATACAGTGAGAATAAAAAATATTCGTACAAGGAAATTTGTTATAAAAAAAAGTCTTATTTGTAGAAATAAACATTAATTAGCAGTTTTATATAATAAATACATTCTGTTATAAAGAAACGAGCATTACATGTATTCTTGATTTTAGAAGTTAAATTTCTCGACTGTACGAATATCTTTTTGAGCATTCAAACAATAGAATTTTTAATTTTCGCTTATTTTTCAGATGATTTTGTATTAATTAATACACTTTTTTTTTGGTATATATAATTTTAAGAAACATACAGTCTATTTTATTCTTTATGAATAAATTGTTAATTATCCAGCAAAGAAATGATCGTTAATTAAATGTCGAATCGACGTCAAATTAATGTTGAAATCATCGTATTTATATCAATTTGACATTAATTCGATGACTTATTTCTCGGATAATTATTATAATATCATATTTTCTTGGATAATATTTACTTCTTAAAAATAAAGTTTTTTTAAAAAATATTTTCTCTGTACGAATACTCTTTGCACGCACTTTTTTGTACATGTACAAAAAAATGAATATAACGTTTCGAATAATGTCATTGTAAAATCATATTCTTGAATGTTAAAAGTGTATCAGAATTTTCTCAGATTTTTTAGAGCCCGAAAATCATTAAAAAGCATAATCAGATACCAATGTTAAGTTGGACTAGGAAAATAATAAGGAAAGCGAAGGATCTTTTAAAAATATGACAAACCAATAGACTTGTTCTTTTTAGCTGAACTTCTTGCACGATTTATCTTTTCTCTTTTTCTTTCCAACGTAGAGAGAAAAGAAAGAAAAATGAATGTGCGAGAACTTTAGCTAAAAAGAACAGACCTTATGTTTTCATGTAGTTACATAGAAAAAGAATCAATCGCTTTCGCCGATCTTTTAATTTTTGAATTTATGCGCATTGAATACCAGATTGTTGAATATCGTATTATGCGCGATAAAATCGGAAACCAATTATTACATTTGTAGAGAACTAACGTCTATAGTTCGATTATTTGGAATTTCGTGTCCTGTAATAGTCTTTCAAAGCGATTGTTTAGTCGAGAAATTTCATAGTTCTCTTCCGGATACAATAACGCCAATGATCGAACGGGTGATAGTGTACAACACACACACACACACACACACACACACACACACACACACACACACACACATAAAATATAACGCACGCACAATGTGCACGTGCGTGAGCTGACCACGCTCTGTTCACGCACCTCCCGCGTGGCTCTCCGGCGATTCGCGCGTACAGCTAAACCAAGTTGAGCTGAGACCTTCGTCCAAGGAGTGGGAGGGAAGAAGATAGAGCTAGAAGAAACCTCGTGTATATCGCGACCGTTTCTGAGAGCTGCTTTCATTTACAGCAGAGCGCGGAGAGACGTAGAAACGCTCTCCCATTCCCACTCCTCCTCTCTTCTCCTCTTGTCTCTTTTCCTCTCCTCTCTTCTCCTCCGATCATCACTCCTCTCGCAACGTTATGCTTTCGATAGTCCTTTCTCTCGATGAGGGAATTAATCGCGTGACTTTTTCGCGCGTGCGTTTCGCACGCTCGTGATTTCCTTGTCTTTGATTCTACAATCAGAAGACGAATCCTTGAATATTTATCATTTTATTCTATATACTGTTCATTTATTTGTCCAAAAACATATTCAGTTTATGTGTTATTAGTCCAAAAACATATTCAGATGTGAATTGAAATAACGTTATTAAATGTATTTACTATTATTATTTTTCTGGCTTTGTCTCGGATTTTCAATATAAATAAAAACTCTCTCGGTTTTATATGTCTGACGTGAAAATGATATTATTTCCTCTATTATTGAAAAGTAAATAATTAAATGTATTTTGTAAAAATATACATATATTAATAAGAATACTTTTTTAAATAGTGTATGTATCTTTTAAAAATAGTGTAAGTGATATTTCCTTTGTTATAATTATATTATTTTGTGTTTATGTATGTTTTATTTTGTAATTAGACGCTATGGCTCTTTAAATGGATTTGTTACAGCAGGTTAAACGCACGATATAGGTTCGAACAGGCACGAACGTGTTCGCACCGAAACGAATTCTCTATTCATAATTCGGAGAATTTATCGAGGAGTGGGGGAGGTGCCTGCTATTCCTGTTGTACAAACCAAACATTTTCCTGAGAATATAAAAAAAAGAAAATAGCGTATACGAAAAAAATTGCACAGCTACATTAATAAAAGTGTTAAAAAAAAGTTATTTTTAATATTTTAAAGAGAGAGACGCGTGAAAAAAAATTAATGTAAAAATTAATATTAACAGAGGGAGACTGTACTTTTTGTTTCTTGTTTCTTGCTTTTTGCTTCTTATCCGAGTTTTATGTCACCAGAGATAAAAGAACTTCGAAAGAAACAAGAAATACGTAACAAGAAATACAATTGTCGATAAAACGGTTACAAAGGAGAAAAAAGTAAAAAACGAGAAACAAAGAGCACATTGTAGAGTAGGCTTTAGGATCATAATAATTACAGTGAGTACAAAAAGTATTCGCACAAAGAAAATCTTTTTTAAAAAAATTTATTTTTAAAAAATAAATATTGTCCAGCAAGAAATGCGTCATCAAATTGATGTTGAATCGATATCGATACGATGTTTTCAACATCAATTCAACGTCGATTCAACGTTTAATTGACGTTCATTTCTTGTTGGGTAATTAACAATTTATTTATAAAAAATAAATAGACTGTATGTTTCTTAAAATTATATAAAAAGATGTATATAAATTATAGAAGATATATCTGAAAAATAAGTGAAAATTAAAAATTCTATTGTTTGGATGCTCAAAAAGATATTCGTGCAGTCGAGAAATTTAACTTCTAAGATCAGGAATACATGCAAAGCTCGTTTGTTTATGTTAAAACAGAATATGTTCATTGTATAAAATTGTTAATTAATATTATTTTTTACAAATAAAACTTTTTATAAAAAATTTTCTTGTACGAATACTTTCTGCTCTCTATGTTTTTTGTCCTATTCCGCTTGCATTATATTTATGTTATTATCACAGTTTTCAATTTCTTTTTATCAGTCCTTGTTAAAACAAATATTTAAGTTCAACTATGATTAGACTCGTTTGACTCTTAATCTTAATTCTTGGAAACAGTCCTTTCTTCTTTTTATTACTGTGTTTATGTAAACATTTGTTTGTGTATTTTGGTTTACCATTTAGATCAGAGGAGTTTGGATTTCGGGGAGCATTATTATATGCACATAACTCTTTTATCAATTTACTTATCTCGTCTGTGTGTGCGTGTGTGTGTACCCAAATTAAATATTTGATTACATCAAGAACGTTGGTTGGTATTTGTTACACACGACTCAAGAGTTTCTACCAAACGTTATCAATGTTCCAATCGTGAGGATTCATCGGGGATGATGAAACACGCCTATTCTTTGCATCGCAACAGCCACAAGATCACGCATTAATTAAAAATGGTTTCTAGGCCTGGCAAAACTCATAAGGAAATGAATGTATCACAAATATATGTATATATACATATATAGAATATATATACAATGAATGAGCTATATAGATATAATAAAAAGATTAAGAGAGTTTTATTCAATATTTACTCAATCTTTCTATCATATGCGCTTATTAAAATCCATTTGTGTGGCAAAATTCGCTTCGAGTACATTTCTACAAGGGGAAAAGAATCATTGGCGATTGACAATGACCCCGTAGTCTCATTCGAGGACGAATTGATTGAAGTTGGTAATCGACCTCTGGGGAGGATGATTTTCATACTTAATTCATTTATATATATATATATATACGTTAAATTAAATTCAATGTTGCAATTTTGACATAGTTGCGTCTAGTTATGCAGACATAAAAATTATTAAGATAACAGTGACGCGCATTCTAGAAAGTTTAAATAATTTAACGAACGCTATACCAACCAACGAAAGACTCACACCGCGAAAGACGTGTCGTGGTGTGAATAATACCTGAGAGTCTGACTCATTGCTTTATCAAAACGTTAAGTACTTGAGATTCTTACCGCGCAATATTGCATCATTGAATCATTGTATATCCAATCTACGCGTCTTTATGTCTACAAATCTCTCCAAATTATTTCTACAGATACGCATTAACGTTTAGACGATAGATCCACAATTTTGTAAATTGATAAATCACTTTTTGCGTTTTTAGAATGTATTCTGCTTTCTTGAGAACGAGAATTGTTTTGATTTTTATCAATGAAGAAATCATTTCCTCTTTCTCTCATGTATATGTGAGGCATATGATTGCACATTATTACATACTTACAGCTCCCTCAGTACGTCACATTTAGCACGAGCTCGACATCCTTATCAACTGCCACGTGCACGTGCAATTACGACGCCAAGAATGGCCTTTACTGCGTCGGAAATTATTCACGACGCAGTAAGCCGCGCTTACGCATTCGAATTAAAATTCAACATGTCTAGGCATTTCATTGTATTCTAATTATCCGTAGAGTCGCCATCGAGTATGTCGCGATCACCGAATTTTGTTCGGACACTTATCGGTGCGTTCAGCTGAGATATCTTTTGCTCTCGATTGTTTATGACTTTGCTCTTAGCAAAAAGGACCTTCACGCTGCTCGATTTTAACCGGATTTTATGTAAATTGAACTTTATACGTTTTGAGATAAAAAGAGTTCACGTCAAATCTCTAATTTGAGATAACCCAAAAGTGTACTAAAAAGTGTGATCGATATGCGATATTTTTCTTATCATAAAAATAATATGGAAAAATGCAAACTGACTGTTTCTCACTTACTGCGTTGTTTGGCGTCATCGCCAAATCGAAAGTATTACCTCGGTCTGCGTGTAACTCTTACATACAGCATCTACGCTTTTTGCCTCTTCGCTGAAGAGAGATGTTGCTAAATCTGGTCTCGCTTAGCGTTTGTTTACAACATTGTTTTTCTCAGCGATCTCTCTTCCTTAAGACTAATCTACAATGTGCTCTTTGTTTTCTATTTCTTACTTTTTACCTTGCTTGCTTTTTTCTCTTTATCGATTTGCGACTGTTTTATCGATGATTGCGTTTCTTGTCACGTATTCCTCTTTCGAAGTTAATTTTCAATTCCGGCGATAGAAAAACAAATAAAAAGAAACAAAATAAGAAAACAGGAAGTAGATGTAGATTAGGTTTTACAGTAAAACGACTAACTGATTAAAATTAAGAGAGAAACAGTCCCAAATTTTAACTCTTTGTCTTGACAATTTACGTGTCTCAAATTTTGTTATTTAAGGACATGATTATGAATTGTTATTTTTTTAAGAAATGAAAATAATAAGTGTGAAATAAATTTTTAACTAATATGTGTGAAAAATTTTATGATTTTGCATTTTCCCAGATATTACTTACAAAATTCATTCAGTAGAAGAATACAATTTTTAATAAAATGAAATTTTAAGTATTTTAAGTAATTTTTCTTATGATCTCGTGTGGTATTATTTACAAATATATTAATACAATATTGTTCATGTGTTTCGTTAATAATTATGAAAACAAGTTTATCTATTCAAATTTAATTACGACAATTAATACTGAATTTTTTTAAATATCTCTTTTCCTTCTCAAGGAATCGGTCAACTTATTTTGCAGAGGTGTCGTCGAACCTCACGCGATACACGCAAGCGATTACGAGAGTCGCGTTATTTTCGGAAGTAACGATATTCTCGGATCGAGCTAGATGTTTTCTACGAGTCTATAATATCTGTGCGAACGCAATGGCAGAGAGAGAGAGAAAGAGAGAGAGAGAGAGAGAGAGAGGGGTGGGGGAGGCGAGTATTTCTGAGCGGATACAGGAAGTGTGGATATCGATCGCGTAGCAGAGGGTAAACAAACACGACACAGAGTCGCCGCTGGACGTGCTCGCTCGAAAGTCTCGTTTCGTTCGTATCTTCCATTCATCGCTCGTCTCGGAAATACGCTTTGTTGTTAGGCGACTGCGTGTGCGAGAAGAAGAGGAACGACGGCCGCGCATCTCGCCGAGGTCGCGCAAGCGCGACCGAAGGATCGAACAGCTGTAGCAGCACTGTCGAGTGTCGGCTCGAGTCGTGCGTTGCTACGTGTTACGGGACTTTAATATTAAGGAGAACGAGCGAAATAGCGATGTGCTATATTGCTTTTCCGGTCGAATTCTATTCATGATCGCAATCTTGCACTATGAGCTCTTGCGTTGAACGAAGCTTTGCCCTTGCGAGTCATGAATGAGAACCGCGGAGAAGGGCAGAATATTTTTCGAAAATAGACGCTAGTGATTGAGACAAGGCTTATTTTTGAATCTATAACATGCGAAAATCTGTATAATATTATACGTAACATGGAAAAAAGTTTATTAAATCTTAATATATATTTCTCTGAATTTATTTACAGTAAATATTTATTTTATAAAAGAAACGATGGTTAAATCAAATATATAAATAGTTTTTATAACAAATAAACTTATATTTAGTAAATATTACTTTAATAAATATTTATTATTCAAATCAATATTAATTAAAATTTAATTTTAAAAATTTAGTTTTTTTAGTTTTATATAAAACGTTTTTATGTGCAATAGGTGTCTTTTTTCTGCACTAAACTGCATTTTCCTTTCCGCTTTTATCAAATATCAAAATATATTTCTCTTTAAGTACAAAAAATGTGTAGTTCGACTGTACAACAGATCTTACAACAGAATACTTTTCGAGAGTTAACCCTTGATTTGAAAGATCTACATTTTTTTATGGGATAGAAGATCATACATAAAAATAGTGCGCAGATAGAGACGAAGACAAAAAATTCTTTATTCTTGGATTTTAGTACCTATTAGGATTTACGACATCATAAATTTGATTATTTATTCTTTACAGTAGAGACTGAGAAAACACATTTGGAGCTTTACAATTTTCGAAATAAAAGCTTACGACACTCATAACAACATGCGTGGAATTGTGCGTTCTCAAATCACTTTAAATCTCCCTTTACAGTAAGTAAAGTCTTAAATATAAAAATTCTGCAAAAGCAATGTCATTTACTTAAATTATTCGATTACAAGACAACAACTATGACATGTATACGATTCCAAGACATTATTGTGGAGATAAACATATTTGTTTTCTGAACCCGCTCTTTAATTAGCTAGCATCGGTGCACTAGGTCAGGTGTACATTATTCTCACAACGAGGGAATGGCGCATGCGCTCGATGACGTCATGAGCGTGATCGTTGATTACAGGGCCGACGTTTAACGTGGGTCGCACGCTGCATAAAATATCTAGGTGTACTCAGATGTGCCTAATAACGTTAAAACTTAAGTAACGTATTCAGTTTCATTATACGTTTGATAATTATTATTATCGTATGATTAGAATCGAAGCGGATTGATTTTGTTATAATATTGGATCATCTAAAAAGTATCCGCGGTTTTTTGTCATTAGATGTGTGTTGATGGTCATATATCTAGTGACAAAGTACCGCGGATACTTTTTAGATGACCCAATATTTCCCACGTGACATTTGTAAAACTATTTTTAGAATTTTTGTAATAATTTAAATATTACAGATTTTATTCCAGCCTAACGTTTTTTTATTAAGAATCCTAGTTTTTTCTTATCATAGAACTTTTTTATCTTTTCTTGTCTTACATACAATCGATTGAGTTAAGAAAATAGATTATTAATATTTTTGAGTCTATTCGTAATTATAAGAGTATCAATAATTTCTTAGCATTAGTTATGTTTCGTCTTAAAAATGGAACATTGCTATCAGCGGATGATTTCGATCAAATTTTGATTAATCGATGATAAATTTATCAAGCAATACTTGCGATACTTTGTCAACGTGGAGGATAATTAATTTATTTTCACTTGAAGCAACGATTAACTTAAATTAGGAAGATAACGAATTATACAATCAGAAGTTAATTTTGCTGCCAGCAATTTTGCCACTTGAATTAATTACTAATACGTATTATGTAATTATTCGGAATGAGTTTAAATCGGAATTATTTATTTCTTAAATTTCCATGAGATCTGTTTACGTTGCATGAAATCCTCAGAAGTTTTTGCACTTGAAAGGAGATAAATAAATATTCAGACGTTGAAGAAAAAGGAAGCGAAGATGCTGAGTGCAAAAAGTACACAAGCAATGCGAATAAGCCTACTGTATTTTTTGAGAAAAATGAAATAATTTCGATCAGAATCCATTTCGAATAATTCCATAAAGTTCATTCTGCAAATGCATAACCATAGTAAATGGTTGCAGAGTAAGAATCACACTACAGATTGTCGATTACAGTTTCTGTCAACATTGTCAGTTCTATTTTAGCTAATCATGATGCAGCGAATGCAGGTTAGCTGCAACATGATTAATGAAAATAGAACCGACAATGTTGACAGAAACTGTAACCATAACTGGCAACTTGTAGTGTGATTATTATGACCTTAGCCAATTCTTACAACTATATTTACGTAATTGTAGAATGGGCTTAGGCTCTCTCCTGAGTAATTGCGACAGCCATGTTGGAGTCGTGACGTCAGAAGCGAGGAATAACACACTAATTTATGCTGCAAGCCATTTGTAAATAAAGACAATTTGGATAAATCTAAATGACGAGATTGTTATAAAATACCTGTAAAAATGGGCAGAAATTGTCCTTTTCTTCCTTAATATCAATAAATAATTGTAAAAGCCAGGTAAAGTGAGTCTAATTTCGGGCAGAAACACACGGTTTAAACAGTTATTGAAATGAAAGAAATATATGCTTTTACGTATAAAATTCCAAGATAACTACAGTTTTTGTCCATTTTTAGGACTTTCATAAGTACGAGACACGTCACATTTTCACAATTAAGTAAATAATAATGAAATGATATGTAACACAAATTTCGTCAAAACGTCATTTTTCCACGCCTACAAGTTCAGCCATTTATCGTGGCGAGGCGCTGTAACACACACACAAGCACGAGTGCGCCAAGAGCACATGTACATGGACTCGTGCTTGAGTGTGTGTGTGGCTATCGATTTCGCTACATTTCGCCAGACTGATTTTGAATCGCATGCTGACTACTCTGGAGTCTTGATACATATCAAAAATTCGACCAAGTGAAGTACACCGCTCGATGGACCCGGGAACTCGGGATCGACTTCCGTCACTGGTCGCGCGACGGCAGCGCCGCTGGACTTACTCCCTCCACCGTAGCCTCGGACGTTCTGTCCGCCGTGCTCGGCTGTGATCGGAGGAGCGACAGTAAACAGCTGGCGACGCTTTGCGTCAGTACGATACGCAAAACGGGACTGTGCGGAGCAGGTCCGCCCGTCGTCCCCCCCCTTTTCCCTTCCATCCAATTATATCCTAGCGAGATCCCTGACCGACACATTTCTCGGCCGCTGTCCAAGCCGAAGCCTTCGTCGAATTGTTCCGACGCAGAATAATCCCGACATCTCCGAACCATTAATCGTCGACGAGAAGACGTCGAAACGAGCGAGCGTTGTTGTCGTGAAAAAGCAGCGGGGAAAGCGGAGTCTCTTTGTTCGGCGCGACCGCTCTGCGCATAGACTGACAGTGCGCACGGCGCAGCATTGTTTGTGTTGTGTCGCGCGGTTGGTTCACTTCGGTCGCTTCTCTTCCGTCGATCCTTTTTCACACAAAGACGGACCGGACTCTCGACAGCGTCGTCCAGCGACCTAAATCAGTGCGAGGATTATTCGTGGAGAGGGACACCTGACTGACAAACGGTGACCGTGTTGCTGATGAACGACGGTGTCGCTCGAATCGAGAAGCGAGCGAACGAGAGAGCGACGGAGAGCGAGAGAGCGCGGCGGCGACGGACGCGGTGGCGTAACGCGGTGCGCGAGTGCTTTGTTTTGCCGAGCAGCTGATCCGACGCGACGGCGAGCTACTGCGAGCTACGCTTAACGGACGGTACGTGCGACACGCGCGTCGACGTTTTATCATCGGCGCGCACGACGTCGGGGAAGAGCCCCGGGAATAAACGCGACCACCACCCTCGACGAGGCGTCCAACCTTCGGCGGATCAACCTTCCGACGACGTTGAAACGGTCGGGAATCGTAGCGGTGACGATTGGCCCCCGTTGTTGGGAATCGATTGCCAACGACGACGCTTCGCGTTGCAAGACGGATTTTCGTCGAGTCTGACGTAGTCCGACGTTCCGTGAGGGTGCCGTGTGAAACTAAATTGATAATTGATTTAGCGATCGGACGCTTCGCAGAAGGGAAGGGAATAGTGATGGTAAACGTGACGTGAAAGAATTCCAATTCTTGAGAATTCCCCACGGAAAATTCCTGCTAAACGGAGTGCAATAAAGTCGAGTGCTCGAATCTCCGGAGTCGCTGGAAGACGCTCGATCACGTGAATCGTGCGTACGTCGGGAGATTTTGCTGTGTATCGCAGGGAGATTATGACATAAGGGCAACCGGTGTTACTCGTCGGATCCCCCACAGGCAGAGGTGAACAGACAGCGGGAGTGAATTTTTTTTTTTTTTTTTTTCAAGCGGGTGAACGTTCTCGATTGCGCGAGGAGCGAAAACGTGTTTGGTCCCGAGTTACTTTCCCCACGGTATCGCGGCGAAGAACAAAGGAAACGACTCCACTGGACTCCACAAGACGACACGAAGACACGCTGGTTGACGATTTGAGTTTCTTCTTCGACAATCGGAAACCGAAGAATCCCCGCCCACTTCGAAGCGATCGGGCTCTCGCGCGCGAGAGAGAGATATCTGGATGATACTCTGCAACGCGGCGCGATTCTCAGTGGCTTTGTCTCAGAATCGACGGCGAGGATCGCATTGATCGATGCGGCATAGTCTTGACGGGGCCGTCCTCGCGAACGATCGAGAACGTGGGGTACGGCCCCGATCGAGCTGACTAAGGGAACCGTCCAAACCGAGGGCCAATCCTGCTGCTAATAAGGCCCACGGTGGAGGAAGACATCCGTGACGGGGCTGTTTTAGCAATTTCTACTCTTGTGTTGCTGTAAGGAGTCTATCCACGAGACGCAACATGCTGTACATCTTCCACGTTGACACCGGCACCACCATCACCTTCGACATCAAACTGGCACTGCAAAGGTAACAAACAACCTATTCTCTAAATTATTTCGAGTAGAATTTCTCACTTTGAGAAAATATGAAAAAAATTGAGCCGGTCTTGAAAATGAGCGGGTCAATTTCCTGCAATCTTTAAAAATGAGATTTCACTTTTCAGAGTGAGATTCACTCTAAAGCCGATATTCATAATCAATTTCTTATATTTAAAGCTGCCTTAAGTATAATCTTAAGATATCCTGAATTAATCAGTGTGCTGTATTAGTATCTTAAGACACTTAAAATGATTTTAAAATTAAAACCGATTATATGAATATCGGCTTAAAAGTTTTAAAGAGTAATGTTTCTTTTTATACAATATTTGTTTCTATTAAATGGTTCGGAACTTTTCGTGAAATGTTTTCTCGAATTACATAAGAAGCACAAATTCTATCTACATCGTTACGTAGCGATAATAGTTGGTTATTATTTACATCAAAATTCCGATAATTTTCATTAGTCATAATTCAGTTGAATGCGCATTCTTTTTCATTCTGATAAGTAAGATTAAACTGAGTTTCTATCTACAGTTTGCACAAACTCGAAACTGTGCTTTAAACCCATTTTATCAATTCAATTGCGTAAGCGTAGTTGTACGTGACTGTATTTATAAAAATTGATCAATCACAGTCGAATACTTTCCTCACTTTTGACTGTGTTAGTCAGTTCTTACAACTACAATCACAACATTATAAAATCTTGTTAAAGTTTATGGCACATAAAAAAACTTAAACAGGTTGTAAGGCAAGTGCAATATATTAAGAATTACTTGAAAAAAATTACGGATTATTCTAAATTGCATTTAAAAGTCATACAAAAAAATTAGAGACAGTTGACCATCTAGATTAGTTATTTCAATAAAAAGCATTATTTTTAAAATTTGTACTCTAATAGAAATATATGAAAATAATAAAATTATAAAATAACAATACAAATCTCAATTTTTTTATGTAAGTACTTTATTTCAAAAATATTTATGTAAAGTTATATTGAAATGCAGACATTAATTGTTCAGTAAATAAATATTTATTTATTATAAACTAATTGATGAATCTCAATGAAATTTTACATAAGCCATTTTTAGTACTTAAAATATGTACATAAAAAATTTAGATTTTTGTTATTATTTTTAAAATGTTTGTTTATAACAATAAAACTAATATCAAATAAAATAAATTATCTATAAAAATGTGTTGCTCAATAAAAACAGAATGCTATGAATTTCAATTTTCACATGTATGTAGTTTGTTTAAAGCGTAAATATTAACATATGTATTTTTATGCTCTTACAACCTCCTTAAGATGTAAGATTTAAACAGTGAACGTAAGCCTAATTTACAATTACGTAAATGTAATGTAAGTCGTAGTTGTACATCTAGAGAAAGATTTTTCTTTGATTTAAAGAAATATTTCTTTGCTATATGGCTAAAGAAAAAAATTTCTTTGATTTGAACGTCATTTCTTTGATTTAAACATTATTTTTTGAAATTAAATAAAAAAAATTTATTCGATTTAAATTATATTTAAATTAAAGGAATGATGTTCAAATCAAAGAAACTTTTTCTTTAATCGTATAGCAAAGAAACATTTCTTCAAATCAAAGAAACCTTTCTCTAGGTGTAAAAATTCACCGATCACAGTCGGATATTCTTCTCGTATTCAAGTGCGATGGGTCAATTCTTTCTTACAAATACAACTACGTTTACACAATTGTAGATCGGGTTTAAGACCATACGTGAGCAGTAGCGAATCCAGCATGTTGACTTCCTTACTGCTTAAGTCTTACGTCTCATAAGTAATTTTATGTGACTTTTATTTACATTAAAAATGAAATTTCTAAACCTGTGTTGTTATAACTTTGTCACCAAAGTAAGCAGGCGATGACGTCAGTATAAAATATTCACGTAACTTTATAGACTCAATATCGCTTGAGTGAAAATGGAAAGCAACTATAATAACGCGCGTTAATAATCACGCGGCATTTAGCGCCTCTCTAACAGGCCGCGAACCAACGCAGCCTCGCGCGAATCCAAGGATCCGTCGAAGGCTGAACGAATTGCAAAAGTGTGCCGCCTTCATGTAGCGGACGTAGGCGAGAGACATATAGCGAATTTGATTGGACGCTCTAGTGCATATTAAAACCGTTACACACTGATTCAGTTTGTATAAAAATAAAATGCAAACATTTCTAATTACACTGAAAAAAATACTTAAAAAAATTTTAATAAATATTTATTTCAATATAATTTAAGTAAATATTTACTAAATGTAAACGTATATTTATTTGACTTAACTATCATTTTTTATTGAGTAAACATTTATATTTACTCCAAATAAATGTTTACTTAGTACTATTTAAAGAAATATACATACATGCACTTAATATACATATATTAAGATTCAGAACATTTTTTGTCAGTGTATAAAATATTATACTTAACAGCGTAATAAAACGTATTAAGGATTTTATGATTTCATTTACTTTTATATTTATATTGAATACATATTTTTACATCAATTCGTGTACGACGGGTTTTAATATGCAGTGCGCGTTCAATCGAATTCGCTAGTAGATTCTTGTGTCATCGCTATACACGCGTCTCTAAAGGGGGAGATCCTTTAGGGGGAACAGCGACGACGGAGAGTTTCTTCCGGTCCGCGAACTTGCGCCGAAAATAATACACAATGAAATCGACGCGACGCGGCGCGACGCGGCGCAACGCGACGCAACGCGACGCACGTGGGTGTGGATAGCTCGTGGCGCGCACGAGTTTGACCCGATGGCAAACTCGGCCAAGCTGACGACACGCGCATGATGCAAACGAGCACTGCTCTTTCGATACTCTCCGATCGCTCTGTTCGGATGGCTCATCTTCTCTCACTATAGTTGTTATTTAATAGCGAAGAGAAATTCCAGCGAGATGGAAATACGTTTTTTTACAGAGGAATCCTTTAAAGATGAAGGAACGATATATATCTGCAATCTGCAAAATTGCGCTTTTCCTTTTTACATTGAAATATATATACTTTTGTAGTATAAATAAATTGAACTTGTTATTTATAATGTAAATGTAAAGATGTAACTGGTAAAATCATCGACGATCACGGATGAATGTTTTAAAGATGAATGAACGTCCTGCAATTTGCTTTTGAAGTATGTATATTTTTGTTGTACAAATTAATTTTGCTTATTGTTTTATTGTGTAAATGTAGCTGTCAAGATAATATTATTGGTAATCACGAATAAATCTTTTAAAGATGAAGGAACGATGTACCTGAAATCTGCAAGAAATTGCGCTTTCTTTTAAATTGAAGTATATACGTTTTTTGTTGTAAAAATCCATTCTGCTCATTATTTTGTAATGTAAATGTAGTTGTTAGGATCATTGGTAAAAAAAGTGAATACTTTGTGAGATGTTTCATACTTTCTTGATATACTTTCTGATATAAAATGTGAAATATGTATATATTGTAAAATGTTCTCTCTTTAATGACCTTGTCTTAATATTTATAATACGTAGAATGTCAAGAAAAATCGATTGATAGAAAAAAAGTACTTAGCTATATTTAAAGGAAACGTGCAAATGCATATCGCAAATATATATTCGTACGAAAAAAATAATATCATAGAAAGTTAGATTTCATTCTATCCTTCCTCTTTTTCCTCTCTCTTCTATTTTAATTATCAAGAGAAACATTTCCTGTTCAAATTGCTAGAATCAACATTCTGTATAACATTCTACATTTCGTCGAATATAAATATAACGCAGAAACTTTCATATTTGATGAATATTAAACCTCGGATAATATTTTCACGATAATTTAACATTAATTCGAAATATTCGTTATATTAAGCAAATAAAATAAAAAACGAACCTATAGGAATCAGCGCGGATCACAAAGCGCAATCAACTTAATAAAAAAAATTAGCTTTAATTAACGACATATACATAGAGTCGCATGTATCAGTTATTATTTCGACTCTCCTTTGACTCATCCCCAGCGAACAAATTTTAATAAATTAAAAAGAACAAACGATTTGTTATTAAAATAATAATAACAGCGAATTCCGGAACACTTTGCATTATAAATTCAGCAAGAATCAAGATATTTGCAAGAGTAGAAGCAGCTGACATTTTAATTGAGCAAAGCTTCTCACCATTAATTATAATATCGTTATTTTATGCAAACTGATACGGAAGGATGTGAAGAATTTTATATTAAGTGCATTATATCATACGCAAGGAACTGTTTTGCATTTTTATTCTGTCGATCATTTTAAAGAAGCCTTTTAACGTGCTGAAACTACAAAAATTGAAGTCCCTTTTGTACAGCATACAATTATTTATATCGATATCGTGAATGGTAATTAACTTGATGGCGATCGCTCTTGCGTTCATTTTTAAGAGAAGACAGGAAACTGTCGGTAAAAAGAAAGGCTTATCCCATTTATTACGATCGTTTATCTACGTTGATGAAGATCAACTGCTGAGCGGGGGAATTACAATTTCTACGCATCGGTTTATCGTATGACGACCTTCAGTTGCGGATGGAGACATCGTATCGACGCGGTAAATGCATCGGTAACTCGTTCCATGTTCCCTCGTGGAAAACTTCTGCGCTTTCGAGAAACACGCTCGCGGCTCTGACGCGGGCACTGAAAATACATATATCATTTGGCTCGAGGCGCGTTCTACATTGTGTCGAATCGCGTCGTCAAATAAACTCGGCCAAGCTTTTAATGCGCAGCTTCTAAGGGAAGCGACGGATTACAAGGCTCTCTTCATATTCGAGTGACGTGACGTCAGAGTGTCAATTGAGTAAAAAATTGTCAACGACGTTTGACGACGTTTTACGAGGGCGATTGCGTAATCGAAGCACAATGCAATCTCGTGTAATCTAAATTGGCGCGTCATAAATTTCAGATTGTATTTATCATAATAAACTGTACTTTTACGTTTCGTTTTGTAAAAAAAACCACGATTTTTTATCTTATGCTCTATCATTCTCTTCATTACATTGGAACGCTCGTTTCTCGGATAAATTTCACACGATGATTTTCTGGTTCTTCGCTACACATGATAGGTCATTCTTGTCTCGGTTAATCTTCATCATTTAAAAAAAAAAATATATACAAATTAAAATTATTAGGGTCTTCACGAATATAAGATTAATTTTAATGTCGGTTTAATTAAGAATTAGAAGGAGATCAAGATTAAGTTAATCTAAAACATTTATGGAACCGAGCTAAGTGATTCATACATACATATACTTTGATATTTTTTGAAAGTATTTATATGATTGTATTTAACAAACTATGTATAAATGTTATAACTAATTATTTAATGCGCTTAGTTTTTCGAAGAAAAAATGTACTGGACACGAATGAATACAATCGTGCGTATTAAAGGTTAAGATAGTGGCGGTCATCGGCCTCGCTCGTCGCCAACAATTAACGATCTGTGTCAATTCGCGAGGGCGCCTCCATTCCGATTTGTGCTTTTATTCTCTGTGTTTGTTTAGTAATGACAGTTGCGATTTAAGCGAGAATAACATTGAGCTTGAACAACATTGCAATTAAATACTGCACTAGGCAATTTCTAGCATCAACAGTAACGTCTGCAAAACCGACGGTCATTGTTCATATCTCGCTCGATTACCTTCGCTTTGTTTACGTTAGTCGATAAGAACTATCTGCGCACCGTGCGAGTGAAAATCATGCGAGCCAACTTCGCATTCAACGTGAGTCGATGCAAAGTATACTCGCGCTCTTGGTATTCTTCCCACGTAAACACATCTCGAAAATTCATGTAAAATACATGTAGCCCTCGCAATCATAAACATGATGAAACATTGAAGTCCATTTGAAATTATTACGACGCACTTATACACGTATAACATAATAATATTTATTCTCTATTTGACCTTGCGCATAATGGAAGAAATATTAGGAATAAATATTAAATATTCCAAACAAAAAGATTAAGAATAGAGATTAAATGTAACGTACAATGGATACAAATAAGGTATTACATATTTGCATCCATTATTCGCGTTAAGTTACGTTTCCACATTCATATTTCCTGATTTTTTTTATTTCTAATATTTAACTTAATATTTAATTTAGTATTTATATTTAATTTAATATTTAATTTAATATTTATATTTTATCTAATATTTAATATTTAATCTAATGTTTATTTCTGTTCTTAATATATCTTCCATTGTGCACAGAGCTTTACTTCAGTATAATAATTAATAATACGTTTTTGTCACTTGACACTCGTTTAATCAAAAGTGTCCCGTTTTCCTTTTCGGAAAACAAATTTTTTTTTTTTTCACAAGAGATCTCGTTTCCAAGAAAGGTGACTTTGAACGATGAAAGTCTAAAAATATCGCACTTCTTCGAGTTTGGACGATCTTCAACGAATAATGCGCATCATCTAGGCTCGTTATAAGGACGCCTATTAACACGCAAATAATATATAACCGTTAATTTATTTTAAAAGGATTCCCTCTTTCTCCCTTCGTTTTCTTTTTCTCATCCTTCTTCATTTTCTCGTAAAGCCGATATCTTGAAGAAATCGCGACGATGAGCGCCGTCGCGTGCACGAAATATGAGCCGCGCCGCGCCGTGTCGTAACGTGACGTGCGTAACCAACGACGACACGCAGTCTCGAGACGCGGCGAGGCGCGGCGGTTGAACGTGCTCGTAGTCAGCTGGTAGCTCGTCGACCACGAGTGACTGGCGATAATTCCGCGCTCGACTTACGTTTTCCCGTTGCAGACGCGCGAGGCGCTTTTGATCAGTGATGCTGCGCCAGCATCTCATATCTTTAATTCCGACGTTTCTTCTCATCTTATTCTTTAAATCTTTAAATCACTCGCCGCTCGACACTTCGGTCGATTCAATTTTCGCTGAGAAAACGAAAACTGAGCGCGAATTGCGTAACGAATGGCACATCGCGTTCCACTGGGAACGTCGGTCGTTTTTTTTTTTCTTCATAGAGACGCTCCGCACGATTGAAGATCTTACGACAGTTACGAGCCGGGTTGTGAAAGGCGGTTAATTTGTCATCGTAAATCTACGAGTGAAATAATCGTGACAAATTTTTATTAATTAATGTTAAGTGAAATAGACCGAAAATGGTCTGTTTTAGTTAATATTTAATTAATAAAATGTTTAAACAGAAATAAAAGAGAAGGCGATTTTCTGTCTTGATGCTCATAAGGGAAACCCAAGGGTTTCCCTTCAATTTTTATGAATATGTCGTTATCTGGACAATAAGGGACACGCATTTTTTAAAAGTGCCCAATCACGCTTTGCATTTTCTTTGAAGAAAATTGGTTATTGTCTTTTGAAGCAAATATTGTCGAAACTATAAGAGATAAAAAAAAATGTTAGAAATAAAAGTTGAATGGTTTTAAAAGTACTTAATAATTATAATTAAAAAAAACTTTTAATTTTTATATTTGATAAATAAACATTTTTTTATTTAAAATTTGTTTAATTGTTACTATAAAGTATTTTTCAAATCATTTAACTTTTATTGAAAACATTTTTTTCTATCTTTTGCAGTTCCGACGAATTCGCTTCGAAAAAAAAAAAAAAACGATTTTGTTTAAATGTATTGCACCCAAGGTTGCATCCCTTAAAAGTATATCTCTTATTTTTGTCTAGAAAACAAATTTAAAGCTTATTAAAAAAAGCTTATTAAAGAAGGACATTTCCATGGACTTGTTAATATTAGGTCATTTAAAAAGTATCCGCGGTTTTTTGTTCAATTTTTAAATGAAAAAACCGCGGATACTTTTTAAATGACCCAATAATATTCACATATGTGAATTGATATACAAATACAATTATTATTTCTATACGCCGATTCGGTTTGTCGGATTTGAAATCCAATCGTAAACTGAAATAATGGTCTCATAATTGAATTAATTGATCGTCGATTTCAGTTTATGATTGTGTTTCAAATCTGACAAATCGAATCGGCACACAGCCTGTAACAATCGATAATTGCATTCGTATATTCACATTTTATTAATGTTAGTGTAACTGCGAACACGTTCTCTTATACTTAATTAATACGTCGTGCATTTCCTCGTCTCTCTTCACTGCAAAAAAGCAGCATCCTTAACCGTTAGTTAACCTTGCACAGAGTGTTAACAATCTCCAACGTATCGCTCCGATTCCTTTTAAACGTCGTTTAAAGACTGTTGTATTCCGAACAAGTCGAGTCTTTAAGATCTCCTTTAAAACGTCGTAAAATACAGAACACGTATCGATCACAATATGTGAGAAGCGTTCGCGATAAACGATCGAAGCGAAAAAGAATTGCGATAGTTAAGCGTCGAAAATGAAAAATTATCACGATAGATAAAATTTATAAGAGTAACATTACGCGCTATTACGCAACGCGCTCCGCACGCATATATAATTATCTCAGTTTTTATCTTTCCTTTTTTTTTCCTTTTCTTTTTTTCTTTCTTTTCCGCCTCTTGATGTTTTTTGCACATCACAGTGCACTCGAGCTGTACGTGATTGACAGAGTGCTGGCAGTTTAATTATTACGCATGCAAATTTTCGAGGCACACGTACTGCCACTGTACTTGAACCAGGTACGTCCATCTGTTTCAAGAATTAATAGCAATCCTTCATCACGTAACGTCAGATAACAAGTGAGATCCCGCGATTGTCCTTACGCGAGTGCATCTATCTCGTCTGGCATTATTACGGCAATCATCGTTCTATCGTATTAAAGCCCTCACAATACACGCCCAATCGTCTTTTTACTCTCATTATTTCTTCGTTATTGCATTGCATCCGGCAATGGAAACGCACCATCCGGTAATTACGATTGCAGTATGAGTTCTTTACGGAAATTAGGTCGTAATCAGCCTAACCGTCTTTGAATCGAGTAATGCTTCTTTCTTGCCTAAAGGCGTGATATCGCCCTTGATTTATTGAAGCGGAAGAGACTTTCCCGGCTTTAACGTGGAGGAAGAGATTGAGAAAAAGATATTTTCGATGTTTTTATTTATCGACATCGGGAAAAGGCATTTCATGTTTAGTATCACTTAACTGTACAAATATTTCATCTATCTATATCTGTATATATGTATTCTGAATATTATTTTTATCTGATCTTATAGTTTATTATTTGTGTATCTTAACATCTTTCTTAATAACTATCTTTTATCTTAATATCTTTTTTTATACGTACATTAAAAAATATACATTAAAAAATTAAAAAATTTCAGTATCTATTATATTTTGCATTCTTTTTTTACTTTTTATTATCATAATCGTTGTGGATAATGGAAGTGCTTAAGTATCGATAATTGCTTGCTATTTTAGGAATGAACGATACATTTTGAACCTTCCAGGAAATGTTCGAGGAAAAATTGACGAACGAAAAATCTTTGTTCCGTAATATCCAAGTGTAAATTTTATTCAGCGATCGCTCATGCGTAATTGGCTTTTCTGTGCAGTGTCAGTCAGCTGATGGAGGCGATCGAGAGGGAATGCGGTGTGGTAGCGGCGCATCAGGTGCTGCTTATGAGCGGAGGCGAATGCTTGGAACCAAATGCACGCGTGTGCTCTTACTCGGCTGGAACCGACACAAATCCGATTTATCTGTTCAGCAAGGCCGCCATTGAAAGCAGCCTCCCGCCCACGCCGAGTATAGATTACGGTTCCGGTGAGTAGCTTCTTTTTCTTCACCCTTTTATCGTATGAAATGTAGACGATAATTTCCTAATAACGCCAACTTGCGCAATTACGGAATTAATACGGATTATATTAATCGGAAGGTATTTTATTACAGCGAAGTGTACCTTACTTATGAGAACAAAATTATTAGAATTAAAATTTCTCGTTTTATAATCGTGCCAGAAGAAACGTATCGTTACTGATGACGTGTCGTACTGATAAACGATCACGTTTTTGTACGTTAATCGATATCTATTATAATAACTTGTACGTGCGGCAATATTTATATACGAGCTTGTTCTTTCGGTACGAACCGGTTCTTTTCATATAAAGGTGATAATTCGTTCGAAATATCCGTATAACGTATCATTAGATTCTCACGGTTTAATTCGGTCAGCACTGCGAACATGGATGATTAATTTGCTCAACGAGGACGAAAATTTCCATCACATCGCGCGATTCATCTCTAGGAGAGTCGTGTTGAAAGGATGGCATCGGCGTAAGATTCTTATCGCTGATTTTCTCGTAGAAGAAAAAAGTGATATCAGCGTTGAAATATTTATGGTTATCGAGGTTTATATCCAAGAATATTAAATTTTAATATACGTCATGTATTTTTTTTTTATTTCGATATCGCGATGGAGAAAATTAAGAAAATACGCGATGTGCTCTTTCTATATAGATAGAAATGTGCTTCTGATCTCATCCCGTTATCCTTAATTCCCGAGAGTTTAGTTAGGCTCGGTCAGTTGCGCGATGTCCTATTTTATATTTTCTTTTAGTCATTCTCTTGTTTGTTTTGTCCCGTTAGAGTGCCGCGTGTCCCCGACTCGCTTCATTACCACGCTCGTTCTCTCTTTCTCCCTGATCGTATGATCGATCGTATGATCGAGGTGCGAGCTATGATTTAGCAAGTACGAATACTTTTTGCGGTTAGTCATACTTCTAGACGTTCGTGATTTGACCGCAAATCACGCCCCCCGCAATACACACCATCGACACGAGATATCTAGCGATTTAAGTACTTTTAGATCAACAACTTTTTCCAAGAACAAGAATTTAAATCAGCAGCTTTCGTATAAATTATACATTTAAAAAAGTCTGGTAATAGCTACTGAATGTTGAGTGAAACAATTTTCAATCGGTATTCAGTTAATGTACATATAACTGTAAAAATTTTCCTTTTCTAAATATTTAGTAATGATTATCAAATCATTGATAGGTTATATTATGTTTGGTAATATTGACCAAGTATTTAAGAAAGGAAAATTATTTTTATTTATATTTAGAAACAGAAAATTATATTGATTGAATTTATTTTATTTAAGATATCGTAATTATTAGAGTTCTCTTTTTTTTTAGTGTACTGATAAATTTTTATTGTTGAATTATCACATTATATTTATAATTATTGATCGAGAAGAGGAGAGAAATACTTTAACGATACTCACGTAAAGAAATATCTAAAAAAAAATGATTTTCATATTTCACGTATGTATGTAAATAACATAATAAGTCTCAAAATTTTCGCAATTAAATCTTTATAGTATTATTTTATAGTAACATTTAACGTGAGTCAAGATCGAAGAATAATATACATGACTCGCTCTGCATAATAGCATAAAAATCGTTACATGCGACTACAAATGCAACTTACTAATAAATGTATTTTGTTGATTACAATTATTTTTGTGTTTTCTTCAATAAATCCGTGTTCCTCTTTTGTAACGATCACACAGCTGCAATAATCATACAAAAGATTAATTACACCTTCGTGTATACCGATGCTAACATCACGTCCAGCACGACGATCCAGTATAAGATAATGAGAGGTATGGGAAGGACTTGATTCCGGGACTTCCCCCCCCCCCCCGTTAGACTGCTAATTGGCATTAGAATGTAGAACGACAACGAGCGTATTATTCATCCGATAGAATCTCCATGTCGCGTCGTCGTGAAAACTCCGCCGGGTCATAGACGTCGTCGTCATGGGACTTTTGATCCGCCGCGTTGTTAACGAAGCTTGCGATCAACCGTTCGACCTGATTTTGTTATCCACAGGATAACCATCTGATTCTCTATTCGTGCGCGCGCGCACATCTCACGCGACGTGACATCGAGAGCGTCGAGTTCCCGTTGCATAGAACGCGAAACTAGGCCGTTCAGCACGCAGCGTGACGCTTTTCCGCGGAGTCGCAAAAATAGTCAATCAGTGACGCTTCCCGAAGCCGCGGCGAGCCGCCCGAAGTAGTATTATTATAATTCAGTCGATCACGGAGGCTTTTTCCGTGCGATATAGTAGAGTCCACTCGTCTTTCTCTAAAGAGCTGTAAGACATTCGTTGAATTATGGCGGACGTACTTCTACGGTCGATTGAATTACGACGCGTACAGGCAAAGGTAACTCAAGAAGTGCGACATTTACGAGTCTACAAGATTTACAGAACCAACGAATGGAAGATCTGAATTTCTATCACTACAGCTTTAGTCTATCAACGTTATGAACCTTAAATGAATTAAATAATAGTACCTAAGTCATTACATTCGCTTCTACACTAAAAGAATATCGATATCGTGGGGTGTTAAAAATTTCGAAAGCATCGAAAATTAAATTAAGCTCAGGATTTTGAATGTCCCTTTTGAATGACGACATTGAATCGTTCAGTTGTTTTGGAACGTCGCGAATAGAACTGTTTATCGGGAATCGAAGATAACGACATGACGTTGGAATTGTCAGCTGATTAGGGATGCCAAAGAGGGTGTCTTCATTGATCTTCAGTGAAGAATGCTAAACATGACGAAAGTATTGATGTAGATGCTAAATGTGACTGTTTAACGCTGAGCATACCGGCTATTTCTTCAATGATGAGTAATCGATTTTCGGTTGAAACAAAGAAGATTTTAATACTTTGTTCATTCGTACTTTTAACATTGTACGATGTATCGTTCAATACGGATATATCTGAAGAGTCTCTCTTACTCGTACATCAATTCAGGGCATTAAGTAGTCCGAGTAATGATTTTTTTCCTTGCCATTAAATCCAATTGATTCCGATTCTACAGTCAGTTGAATCTCGTTCGCGGACATGAGATACGACACGAAATTGCATTTGCCTCGAAATGTATCTTTAGTATTCCGCGATATTTTTACGAGACTGTTACTATCTCACCTTCGAGTTACCTGCGATCTTCGATTTACCACGAGGTGACCTTGATCAAAGTTTTATCACAAAAAAACCAATACAAATTTTCTTCGCATTATCAATTATTTCTGAGTTGGAAAAAAATTTTCATAAAGTTGCAAGATCGAACAGTATCAGACTGAATTATGAAAAGTAACAAGAAACAGACGGTGATGAATAATATCAGACGTAATGGATATATATAAATTGCGCATTTTCCGATTTTAGCATCTGTGCTCCTTTAAAAAGAATTGAATCATTTCAGCAGCGTTTTTTTTTTTCAAATTTATCTCCCTTTACCTTGATATTTCAAAGAGAAAAAGCTATGATTCAAGCTACTTCATTCTTTCTAAATCGATAGTGATAACTTTATAGGAATGCGCAATCTATTCTTATTACGTCTATGGAAAATATTTACGTTGAATTATAAGATATTTATAATCAAGGATTTTTTCAATAGTAACGATATAATCGATACGTTCGACGTATCTTGCGTCTATGTCTTGTGAGTTTATGTCGTTACAAGCCTTATTGAAACACTTATTTTCCTGGTGTCCATAAATATATTCCTAAAGATACTTATATTGTAATTATACTATGACGCGGTAAGTTTTCCTTTTTTAATAACCATGCGACATGTAGTACATCGTTTGTGATACGTAATATCTCGGCACTGCAAAAAGTTAGACCTACTATCGAGTTGCAAGGAGATACATTCGCATCGAACCGATGCGAAAACAGTAACACTCGGAGATAGCATTCAGAGTTTACGATCTGGTGGAAATCACGCAATACAGCTTGAGATAAAATGGATTGATCAATGATCAATGAGTAAAAAGAAAAATGTTAGCCGCTGGGAACGGGTGCTACGTCGCATCGGTAATAACACGGTGAACAGAAAGTTCCGCAGCACTGCACAAAACTTGGTAATGGCATTCGAAAGTAAGCGGATTTCCCATGTGAATATCGACGACGTAGTGTACTTTATCTTCATTTTTTTATATTCCGAAAACAGAACGATTCGCAGTCAGTTACAAAATTTACTTCGCGCGCGCGCGACATTGGATCTTCAGGTCTCGGGACCGAAGTTAAACCCGAGAACAGTTGCTCCGAGTCACCGTGACCCAAGCTATTACGTTTTCACCCTGCATACGCGCGTGTGCCAAGTGCATGTGCATATAAAGTCGATACCGTAGCTAGGGGTTCGTTAGGTTACCACACGGGGCGATTTTTCATGCCCGGCTTCCAGGGAAACGTTCTAAACGGCTAGCGAGACAAAGAAATATATCGGAGTATATTATTTATCTCCTTTTACCCTCTGATGTCTCCGAAATTGTAATATACTGCACACAGAAAGGGCAATTTTGCTGAAGAATCTAAATATGGATCTGAAAATAATTTTTTTTACAATAATAGGAATTTCAAGCACGATAAGAAATGCTGTAAAAAGTTTTGACATTCAGTTTTTAAACGTTCTACATAATAATTTCTATTCAACAAAATTATTTTCAGATCTGTTTCTAAACTAAACTTTTAGATTCTTTAGCAAAATCGTTTTTTCCGTGCAGTAAAAAATTGAAAAATTATTTTATTAATTATTTTTATAATTATTCCACAGCTATCTTACATTCATCAAGAAATGTTTGAAAGAATTTCATTTTCGCTGTTTTTGATTCAACGATACAGAAGCGAGTTTTTCTCACGATAATTACACCTTGTTATCTCCTGTTTTAAACAAGATGTAAAATTACAATTTAAAAATTAATAGAGAATTGACTTATAACATTCTACAATACATGCGAGAAAGT